TCAGATTCCAGATTCCCCAACCTTACCCCAAACTGAGGATTCGCAAGGGTGGCCGTCAATGTCGGAATCGACCGATCGACCAATGCTTTTCTTCGGTTCATTCAGTCATTTTTCATTCGTCTCCTCCGAGCCGTCTTTTTTCGAGCTCACCTTTTTCCACTTGCTGATCTAGAGACTGCCGGATATAACGCTTTCCTGTGCAGCTTTGGGGCCTTTAATCTCCGCCCGAATTGGGGGACCTAGAGTCGCGCTGTTTTGGATATACCTCTGCCGGGTAAAAGAAAAAAAAAGGGAGTTTGATACTCCCAGCCCTACAAACTAAAATTTCTTACCGGTATAAGTTGCTACTCTTCTGTACAGAGTTGTCTTTTGCCACTGATCTACACTAACGGCCAATTCACATGAATCAACCTATTTACCCCCGGCAGAGGTTTACAGCTGTGTTGACGTTTCATGGCAGTCGTCGGATCGGTATGACTGAAGGCCCAAAAATGCGAGGTCAGACTCGGATAGGGTCTAACTGGGATGGCAGCAACAAGGTCGCATAGAGAGAAAGAAAACCTCGAGTCCTCGACACATTACAGAGAAACGGTTAATCCATACATATGGTATGTATGAAGCACGCATGGTAGGTTCTTGCTTATTGCAAATTATTTCTTTGCCTTTATAACTGTTTCTATTCACATGTTTGCGCATCTACAAAGTACGTGTCACCCAGCTTCGGTGCCGTCATGGGTATCGTGGGATGGTGTAAAAGAGTTATTGTGGGGTCAAGTCAGAGCTAACGACCCTGGACACCATTGAACCGGGGAGGGGGGCAAGCAAACGCGCACCTTCCCTAATTCTGATACTTTGCTTGCTTTGAAGGTTTTTTTCTCTCTTTTCGAGTTAGTGTAGTGTATATACTACACTTGAAATCCCAAAGGTCCTCAAAATCCTTTTCTTCCAAGTTTCCGTCTGTTCTTTCCTCTTGGGCAAACAATTTGGGACTTTTAACTGTGTACGCGACACCCGGCCGCTGCGAACAATTTGACCCGAGGTTTTGTTTTCATCCAGGATGATGTCCAACTAATTGTTCGTCCTTACACTCAGACCCTTTTTCGTGGTTGCGTCTCGTACCGCAGTAGATTTTGTTATCATCAAATAATCCTCCGATATCATTCCGGGGAATCAAAACACAATTATCGCACTAAACTGCCCGACGCTTCTATCTCTTGTATCTACCTCTCCTCTCGACTCGGCTTCCACCAAACGCTTGCGTCCGGTTCCCCTCTTTTCCTCTGATCGGTCGCACAAAGCATTCTTCCTCAACGGCGCAACTAGGATTATATCGACATTTCGAGTGCTTGTAGGTCCAATACCTTGACATCCGGTCTCACATACGAAAGAAACCATATAGCGCCTCGCACAAAGTCACCTTTTAGTGATAAGCCAAAAAGTGAGACATGGCGTCAGCGGCGCGTGGCAGTCGGGGGACACCGGCCGTTGACAGTTCGACACTCACACAAACCTCGGCAGCCGCCTCAGACAACGGCAGCAGTTCCGACAACACTGTCCAAAATAACATCAACAATCCCCAAGCCAAAGAGGAGCCAGAGAAAGAGCAAGAGCTTGAAAGAGCCAACGAAAATGCCGACCCAACCGCGCCGCCAACCGACCCACCAACAACGGTCACCGGCCCATCAGCCGCCCCCGAAGAAGGCCGCACCAGCCTCGAAACAACCGCCATTATCCTCGCCCTAGCCAGCGCCCTCTTCCTGGCTGCTCTGGACGTGACCATCGTGACGGTCGCCATCCCCACGATTTCTGAGGAGTTCGGCAGTACAACAGGGTACACATGGATCGGATCGGCGTACCTCTTGGCCAACGCGGCGACGGCGCCCATGTGGGGCAAGATTTCGGATATTTGGGGCCGAAAGCCGATTTTGTTGATGACCGTGGGCGTGTTTTGGATTGGCTCCCTGATCTGCGCGTTGAGCAAGAATATGGGCATGTTGTTGGCTGCGAGGGCGATTCAGGGTGTGGGCGGTGGGGGGATCATCATTTTGGTGAATATTTGTATCAGTGATTTGTTTTCGATGCGGAAACGAGGTATGTTGTTTTTCTTTCTTTGGGGAATCAAGTGCTTTGGGGACGAGAGCTGACAGTGCTTACGTGCTACAGGAATCTACTTTGGTGTCATGGGCATGGTCTGGGCACTGGCGAGCGCAATTGGACCCATTCTCGGAGGTACCTTCACAAGCAAAGTCACATGGAGATGGTGTTTCTACATCAATCTGCCCATCTCGGGGGTGGGCATGGCCATTTTGGCGTTTGTCCTCAAGCTGCACAACCCACGGACGCCGATTCGCCAGGGCCTGATGGCGGTAGACTGGCTCGGCTCCGTGACCATTGTCGGAGGCACGCTCATGGTCCTGCTCGGCTTGGAGTTTGGCGGCGTATCGTACCCCTGGAAGTCGGCAACCGTTATCTGCTTGATCGTGTTCGGCATCGTTGTGATTGGCATCTTTGGTCTGATCGAGTGGAAGGTCGCCAAGTATCCCGTCATCCCAATGCGGCTGTTCAAGCGCCGGGCGAGCGTGGCTTCGTTGCTGGTGTGTGCTTGCCAGGGATTTGTCTTTATCTCAGGTAGTTACTACCTCCCGCTTTACTTCCAGGCTGTGCTGGGCGCCACACCGTTGTTGTCGGGAGTGTACGTGTTGGCATTTGCCATGTCGTTGTCCATTGTGTCGGCCGCTACCGGTGTTTATATCAAGAAGACGGGCAAGTACTTGCCTCCAATCATCTTTGGCATGACTGTCATGACGTTGGGCTTTGGGCTTTTCATCGACTTGGAGCCGAGGCCCAACTGGGCCAAGATTATCCTCTTCCAGTAAGTCATTTCCTTTTTTCGTCTCTCTTTGCCTTGGACGAAATGACTGACACTTGAAACAGAATCGTTGCTGGTGTCGGAGTTGGTCCCAATTTCCAAGCCCCTCTCATTGCTCTCCAAACCACCGTCCCGGGCCGCGACGTCGCCGCGGCCACCGGAACATTCGGCTTCATCCGCCAACTCTCGACATCCATCTCGGTCGTCATCGGTGGCGTCGTCTTTCAAAACCGCATGGAGAAACAGCACGAGCGCCTCGTCCAAGAACTGGGACCCAAAAACGCCAGTCTCCTGACGGGAGGAAGCGCCGCGTCCAACGTGGGTCGACTTGCTTCTTTACCTCCCGACCAGCGCCAGATTGCCCGTGAGGCCTACTTCAACGCCCTGCGCACCATGTACATTGTGTACGTTGCCTTTGCTGCGCTGGGTTTGTTCGTTTCGCTGTTTGTTGGCTCGAGGACGTTGAGCAAGGAGCATGAGGAGCACAAGACGGGGCTGGATAATATGAAGAAAGCAAAGGAGGATGCGGCGGGCGAGGGGAGGAGACGGGCGCCTGTGGATGAGGAGAAGGCGGGTAGTAGGTAATGTGTTTTTCTGAACAAAAAGAAGAGGCGGTTGGAGTTGGGATGAGTTTTGAAAAAGACGGTGTTGGGCGTGAGAGGGGGGGAAAGAGGGAGTAATACGGACTGGACTACATGATTAACCATTATATCCTTAATTCAACATGCGAATACCGTCCTGGAAGCTGTTTCTATGATTAGTTTCAAGGGAACGGAAGACGAACAAACAAAAGATAGAAATATACCCACCACTCCTAGTACAACACCCGATACAAATACAGAAATGCATACATCCCCACCAGAGTCTTGTCCACCGACTTTGGAAGGCCACCGACCCATACACAGGCGCACAGATTACACGTGGTGATACTAAACATGGTTGGGGTCTCTACAGAAGAAATACTGTCTCCTCAAGATCCAACCCCCAGAACACAAGCCATCCATGCCTTTCTAGCGATGCATTCGCACAGCGGGTGTAACCCTATAATTTAGGCAAAATACGCGAAGGATACGAAGAAGGTTCCATTACCGCGCGCTAGAAGCATTCCCGCTTTATTTGAAAGGATACCCTCCCTCAGCTAAACACCAGGCTTTGTTTGTTCGCGAGGTACCCTTTTGATTTTTAGTTCGTTTATTGTCTCTCGAGCCTGTGATTCTACATATGTCGGTACCTCTCGTCGGGTGGGTTTGAGGCATCGGCCGGCGGGCGCAAAACACTTTCCTAGAAGAGTAATATCTTGGCTTGGGGAAGGGAGGGGATTGGTTCGTTGTTTCATGGTGAGTGTGTGTGTGGGTGGAGGTTGTTTTGTTTTGTGGTCTCTACACTATGGACGAGAGAGAGAAAGCAGGATTGGTTACTGGCGTGGAGCGACACTGGCACAGAGGTACAGAAAACCTAGAAAAAAAGAGAAAACTAAAGGCTGTATATACAGACGGAAGCCGGAACCGGGTACGTGGTAGGTAGTGGTGCGCTTATGTCGGTGCTTAGGTACTTTGTATGTGCAGCGAGGTGCAACCACTCCTAAACGCTTGGCCGTTTTCTTGGCACAGAGAAAAGACGGAGAGGGTGACCTTTGAAACGAAACGAAACGAACCAGGACTTGGGTCGCTGACATCACCACCAGATACATAGGCAAGATGGCCTGAGTTGGTTGATTCGCTTCCTTCGTTTCGGCGAAGAATCGTTGCAAATTGTTGTGTGCATACAATACGATCAGTGCGCTTCATTGAGTTCGGGAAACTGTGTTTTGCCCTGCAGTTGTGCATCGTTACAGAGGAACTTCTGATGTCTATTGTGGTCCCTTGGTGTTACATATGCTACTAGGCTGGCCTCATATACTCATCCTCTTTTGCTATGATTCAGAAAGAACCAAAGGACTAAACCTACCGAACTTAGTTTTTTCCCAGTAGCAAAATCAAACCTATATTTGATGCTCTTGAGGCGTCTTGATACAAGTTGAAATGAAGGAGGGTTGCGTCCTAGTTCACACTCACTAACAAAAGTGGGTCTTTATGTTCAGAGTTGAAAAGAATCCTGATGCGCCACCAAAGATTTCGACTGTAACCTTCCCCAAATCATCCCCAGATGAGGTTCCCCCGAGCAACAACACATGGACTTGATATCGTCTGAATCAGTACCTCACATCGTTAACTCAGCCTCGCAAGATTCCAAGAAAAGACAGGATGGTAGTTGTGTGATGACCCGCGAATCAGGATGAGGCAACGGGCTGTTTCAACCCCCCCGGCTCATGTAACCTCACCCATCATGGTTCATCCGGAGCTTAACCGTCCGCGATCGAGTCCACTTCGGTTCATCGCTTGCCTGACCTTGAAATCTGATGGCCAGCCGCCGGCCATGCCGACTATGCCGGTTCATTCCAAGCTGGCCAGGGTTGGTGCCCATGCTGCTTGCGAGTAGACGCATGAAGGGGTTTAAGAGGGCACGCATGTCCATGGCCGTCCAAGTTTATGAGATTCTCGACAAGAGGAAGACACTCGTTCCCTCCAGCCGTATCATCCATCGACAAGTTTGTTTTTTGGAAGAGCCAATCCATCTTTGACGACAATGAAGTTCTCGTCCTTCGCCTCCGGCCTCTTGGCCCTCGGCGCCTCCCTCGCGAGCGCCGCAGAGGTCGTCAAGCGTGCTTCGCTCCAGCAGGTCGCCAACTTCGGCTCTAACCCCTCGGGCGTCAAGATGTACCTCTATGTTCCCAACAAACTCGCTACCAAACCCGCCATCATCGTCGCCATTCACTACTGCAGCGGCACTGCTCAGGCCTTCTACCAGGGTACTCAGTATGCCCAGTTGGCTGAGAAACATGGCTACATTGTCAGTACTGGGCTTCTTGTGTGTTTGACCTTCTCCTCGAGGACATCACTAACAGAGGCTGCTGCTGATAGGTTATCTACCCCGAATCTCCCTACAAAGGCACTTGCTGGGATGTCTCATCACCTGCCTCTCTCACCCACAACGGTGGAGGCAACAGCAACTCCATTGCCAACGTAAGTCTTTAGACAGCAATCTGATCATGTCAAAGGTTTTCGATTGCTAACAACACATCGTTAGATGGTTACTTATACCATCAAGCAGTACGGTGCCGACGCCAGCAAGGTCTTCGTCACCGGTACCAGCTCCGGCGCTATGATGACTAACGTTATGGCCGCTACCTACCCGGAGCTCTTCGCAGCAGCCTCCGTATACTCTGGCGTTAGTGCTGGCTGTTTTGCGACGGGCACTGTCAATGGCTGGAACTCGACCTGCTCGCAGGGCCACTCCATCCACTCCCAGCAGGAATGGGCCAACGTTGTCTTTAACATGTATCCAGGCTACGAGGGCCCACGCCCGAGGATGTTGATCCATCACGGCTCCGCCGACACTACCCTCTACCCGCAAAACTTCAACGAGACGCTCAAGCAGTGGGCCGGCGTCTTCGGCTACACGTACGGCCAGCCCCAGCAGACTCTCTCTAACCAGCCTGCTTCGGGTTGGACCAAGTACGTTTACGGCCCCAATCTAGTTGGCGCATACGGAACTGGTATCACACATGCCACTCCCATGTTCCCGGAAGATGATCTCGAGTGGTTCGGTATCACTGGCAACAACAACAACAACAACAACAACGCCTCGCCTAGCCCCAAAGCTGCTGCTCCTACTACTACTCATGCTGCTGCTATTGCTGCTCCTACTACCACGCTTCTTGCCTGTGTCAGGACTTCGACTGCTCCGGCGACCCCTAGCTCTGCTGCCCCTGCTAGCAAGGGTGGGTGCACCGTCCAGCGTTGGGGCCAGTGCGGAGGTAATGGATATACTGGCTGCACTGCTTGCGCCAGCTCTACCACTTGCAAGAAGATGAACGATTGGTACTCTCAGTGCGTGTAAAGAAGTGGGAAGCGTGCTCTGAGGGAGAAGTAGAGGAAAGAGTCAAGAGATAACCAAGGGGAGGGAACGAGAAATTTGCTGATTAGTCCAACCACGAGTCATGATTCCTTGTGAAGATGACGACTATGACTTCGATGTACATACTTAAGCCATATATCTACATATATTCGAACCCATACGATAGTTGGTCTTTTCCAGCTTTCCACTGACTTGTCCCAACATTCTCCCCTCCATATCCCCTCTCTTCTTAATCTTTTCACTCACTCTACTCACTCCTTCGGTGGCTGCGGAAACTCGTCCAGCACCGCCTCCTCACCCACCAATTCAACCACCACCTCCTTACCCCTCTGTACTCCCTGTGACCCGTCAACATCCACAACAAACCGATAAGTTCCCGGATACAGAACCGTATTCCCGTCCCCATCCACTCTACTAATCGCTCCCAAGCTCACCGGCACATCTTTAACCGTAACCGTCTCCCCCGGCTTGATATCTTTCACCCGCTTGTAGCTCACCAACGTCTTGAGCGGGTACGGTTCAGGTCCGAATTCTCCAGACAAAAAGAGGAAGGCGACGTAATCGGAGGTGTGGGTGCCGGTGTTGGTTATGGAGACGGAGAGGGCGGAGTTGGCAGAAGGGGAGAAGGGGCAGAGGTCGAGGTGGGTGGCGGTGCAGGGAGCGAGGAGGGAGGGGATGGAAAAGGAAGGGGAGGAGGCGTTGGAGGAGAGAGAAAGGGAGACGTTGAAAGTGGTATAATGAAGCCCGTAACCGAAGGGGAGGACGGGGCTGGAGTACCATTTGTAGGTGCGGCCGGGGGAAGAAAGGGTTTTGTTTCCGGGGGTTGAGCGGGTTTGGATTGTTAGGCTGCCCCCTCCTTGAACGGAGACTTCCTCCTCTTCCGGGTTAGAAGAGGAGGATGAGGAGGAGTGGTTAAAAGGTCGCAACGCCATCTCCGTCAACGGTACCTCGTCAACATACCCTTCCGGGTATTGAGTCACCGGTAGCCGTCCCGCCGGCGCTTTCTTGCCTGTCAAAACATCAAAGACTGCCGTCCCGCCCGACTGGCCTGGGTAACCAACCCATAAAATGGAAGACACGTTCCCGTTGTTTAGGAGAGAAGAATCATCCACTTGGTCGCCTAGCTGGATCACCACCAACGGTTTCCCTAGCCCCGCTAGCTCCGAAATCAACTTCATCTGCGTCTCCGGCCACGCAATGGATTCGCGATCGAGATCCTCAGAAGCAACAGTCGTGTCCGTCCCGCCGAAATATAAAACCACATCAGCCCCTTCCGCAGCCGCCAAAGCGGGAGCGGTCCAAGTATCCGGGTCACTGGCATTCACAACGGGACCGTTGGCGTAGGAAAGGGAAAGGTTCAGCTGCTGCGCGGCGTAGAGCGGGTTATGATAAAAGGGCGGTATACCCGAGTACGGACCGCGCATCGTCCCAGTAGCATTGGCCCAGTGGCCTATCAGCGCTACTTTTTTCCCGGAAAAGTCCAAGGGGAGGAGACTACCGGAGTTTTTAAGCAGTACGATACCTTCCGTCGCAGAACGGAGAGCTAGTTCTTGGGTGGATGGGGTATTGACGTCGTTCCAGTTTAAAGCGTCGTAAGCTGGGGAGGAGAACGAGCCACCATCGCCGCCGGCGACAGCAGAACGGCCGTGGTCGAGATAGCCGGCGCGAATAAGACCTTCGTAAAGACGGCGGAGGGCGGTGTCGATGACGGATTCCGGGAGTAGGGACTGGTTGTAAGCGCCGACGACATCCGTGAGCGGGGAACCCGATACCTCGCAGACTGTGTCAGTACCGGCTTTATAGGCCGCTGCGGCGGCTTCGGCGGGCGTTTGCGAGAAGTTGTGATTGTCAGGTAGAAAATCTAGGATGGCGTTGCAATCAGATGTGATGTAGTTGTTGTGTTCGGTCCAGTTCCAGTGGTCGCGTAAGATGGTCATCAGGTAGGTATTTGCGCAGGCTGGCTGTGCCGTGGTGAGGTTGATTATCTCGTCTGGCTTGCTGCCGCCTGCCATGTCACGAATGGTGAGGGCGTTGTAGCTGGATTTGGGACCGACAGGTCAGCATAATGTACTCCCACTTCGAGATCTGGTTGGCCACGAGACGCTTGTAGCAAGGGAAGGACGGGACATACCTGCACATGATACTCCCCACCTTCGAATCCCTCGCACACTGCTGAAATGGCGGCAAATAATACTCACTCAGATCCTGCAGAGTCACGATCGCCTCAAACTCATACCTCGTCAGGCCGTGCCACCTCTCCAAATCATATGCAGCATAATGTTTGCAAGTCGCAATCACTTTCCTCACCGTCTCGTTCCCCTCCAAGCCCGCCAGCATCGCTTTCACATACCCCTTGATATGGAGGGGGTCTTCCCCGGGAGTCTCGGCCCCTCTGCCCCATCTCGGGTCTTTGTAGGGGTTGACATTTGGCGTCCAGTAATCCAGCCCGCCAAAGCCGAAGTTGGCAAATGCCCTTGCTTCGGTGCTAATGGCTGTACCGACTTCGTACACTAGGTCGTCGTCAAAGGAGGCGCCGAGGTTGATGGCGTTGGCGAAAGAAGTGGCGTAGGAGAACGGGTAGCCGGTGGTGTTGAAGGTGACGCCGGGAGAACCGGCAACGCCGTGAAGGCCTTCTGACCACCACGCATACTTGGGTAACCCAAGGCGAGAGGCCCCAAGAGCTTGGCTGTTTGGGCAAAGGTTAGCTTCAGTGTTAAAATGTGAAGACAAGGATAGGGGGGTGTTCTACTCAACGAGGTTGACGAGCTTCTCGTCAATGGTTAACTGGTCAACCAACGATGCTGCGCGTTCGGGTGCTGTGCCAGTAACATCGCATGCTTTGGATTTGGCTAGAGGGCCGTTGACGCAATCGGGAAATTGGAAGGCGTTGGCCGTGAGGACAGAGGCAAGCAAAGGGAGCAAGGGATGAGTGGTTGGCTTCATGCTTCATAGGTAACAAGCTGGTAGTTGACAGGCTTGTTTGTATGAATGAGTGGAACATCTGAAGATAGATAGGTATGGTGAGACATAATGGCTGTACATATATTAATTGACCATCTTCACCTTTGAACAAGATCCTAGAGTAATCAAGTCGTTTCCCACTACCGGCATCCTTCAGCGGCACCCTCATCCGTTGTTTCGAGTATATGACGATATGATTCTTCACTTACCCTGTTTCCCTCGTCATTGTCACCGTCTCGTCTTTACCCCAAGATTTTGTAATTAAGCGGCTGAAACCCTATTGGGGCGGTTGTCACCCCATCTCCTCTTCTCCTCAGACGCACTCCGGATATTTGACTGCAACTGCGGAGAAGCCCCTTGTAAGCCGCCACTCGGCATGCACGTTCGAAGATCCCGTCCGCAGAGATCGGGACGGCGCGCACGGAGATGTAGATGCGGCCCAATGACGTAGCGCCTTTCACATTTGACAGGCCGGGGCCGTGTAATACCCGGTAGGGCCACGAGGGCCGGTGAACGCTTGCATGCGGTATGTGGAACGTGAATGTAGTTCGTTTGGAGGTCAGAGAATCTTGGCATATTTCGGCTCTTTAGTTGTAACGAGTTGTCGCTGCTGGAAGCCCTGGGTGCCGAATTATTTGCAGTCGAGGAATTTTAGTTTTCCCGGTGTCATTGGTTCGGACTTCAGTAACATTCCTGCGCCGGGGAGGAGATACACGAGCGTTGACCTTTAGTCGCCAGGTAATGACAGCAGATGCAACCAGCGCCAAAACAGCGGCTGCAGAGCCGACTGCTATCCCGACTTTCACGCCGGTGGATAAACCTGGTAAGGTAGTAGCAAATCGGCCATGATGGAATAGGCAGAGACTGCAAAAGCTCTCAGGGAACGCATTATGATCAAACTCACCTGAACCTGTATTAGACATTCCTGAATCAGACCCTCCACCCGCCGTCGGCTCCCGATCTCCTCCAGACCCAGTCACCACATCCGTCACCTTATCCTCAGTCCTGGTAGGACTAGCCACCACCAAAGGTACCGCCATCCCCGCCTCGGCACAGTACTCATCATAAAGGTCAAAAGCGCTCGTAACAAGCGAATCTGTTGACGAAGTTCGGCAGCTCTTGGCCACGCAGCTCCTGAGAAAGGAGCTAGCTGTGCTGGCGTGTTCGTAATCATCGTTGCCGCTGCAATAACATTCGTTAACCCATGGCCCTCTGCACCCGAGGGCGATGATGAGGTCTTCTGCTGTTGGACCCGAACGCCAGATGCAATCTTTGACGCATTCTCGCTGTCGGAGGTAAGGCGTGTAGGAGAAGATGGAGACGGGGATATCGGCCTTGATGTGGGTTGTAAGGCTTAGGGTGATGAGTAAGGTGATGGTGAATTTTGCAGCCATGCTGCGAAGTTGAGCTGGGCCTGGCGAATAGAAGCCTTATAATGGAGTATTTTGCCGAGACTCTGAAAGAAATGGAAAAAAATCGAGCTCGTAGGGCCTAGATAGTTAGAGGTATGGGAACCGTATCTGGTAGAGAGACTTTCAATCATGAGCTAGGGTGGATTCAGTGGAAGCAGGGGCTTGAAAGAATCAAACAGAGGAGGCCTTTTAAGCATCTCCGCGTCACGGAGAAGAAGAAAAAGGACCATTGAAGACCAGATGTGGTTGTACAACCTGAAGGCAATAATTTCTGAATGAATCATACCGTGCTCCCGCTGAGTCCCTCGCTCCTCTGTGCTCATGAGACCCCATTTTTGTAGTTTCCTTTATCCATTCCCTCTCTAGTGCCTTCTCCCTCGCTTGTTCGGCCCTTATTGAGCTCGCTCACCCAAAACAAATGACGTACAGCACTGGCTGCTCGGCCATTTGAATGGAACCGCTTGTGGATCCACACTTCAGCCCCTTCTACTGCATCGAATGGCGGGAGTCTGGGCCAGTTCAAGCAACTGCATGGCCATGTATCATCCAGCTCACAATGCCACCGAACGCGAGGCGGCTGTCGACTTCATCGGTTGTCTCCATCACCAGGATGAGACACTCTGAAGGTAGATTTGACGGAGGGGTATAACTAGGGCACATCCGTGCCGACTTGGACAGTAGCGCTTGATGAACCGATCATGATAGAGTTCACTCGGCAGCAACGGCGCTGGGGCCGGCCCTCCAGCTCCTGGCACCGAGGATCTCCCTCTGACGCTCAGGGTTGCGATCAGTCCTTGCGGGGCGCTCCGCCCTCTCGGTACGCTCAGTGCGCTCAGTGCGCTCGCCGCGAGGTCTGTAGGAGGAGCCCTCCTCAGCCTCCCGGACAGGAGCCTTGGACTTGGCAGGGTAGACACGAAGGGTGCCGCCCAAAATGGGCCTGCCGTTGGTCGCCGTCATAGCACGCTCAGCCTCGTCCTCGGACGCAAAATCGACGAAGCAGTAGTGGTGGCTACCGCTGCCGTTCTGAGGCCTCGAAAGAGGGTTGGGAGCGATACGCTTGCCAATAGTCACACTATCACAGAGTCAATACACCTGCAGACAAATCTGGGCTGGCTTCCAACCACGAAAAGGCTCTCTTGACTTACATCTCAAACCCAAGGAAGATCTCACGGATCTCTGCGTCGTTCTGCTCCTGGTCGATCATCTCGCCAAGACCACCAACATAAAGTCTCTTGTTGTTCTGGACAACGCCCTCCTTCGCATCACTACCAGTGCGCCTCTGAGTACCATACGACCTCTGCTCCTCAGTCGCCGCGGGCTTGCTGCCGCTTCTCCAGTCACCCCACCGATCGAAAGTAGAGCGGGGCGCAGGGGAGGCGGACGCGCCCTCACGACGCTGAGAAGAAGTCTTGGGGTGGCAAGGGCCGAGCTTCACGGAACGTCCGCAGAGGTCAACACCAGCCAAGCTCTCAAGAGCGCGCTCAGCCTCCTCACGAGTGGTGAACTCGATGAAGCAGTAGCCAGGGTTCCTTCCGCTAAGGGGATCAACCGAAATGTGAATCTTCTCGTACTGGGTGAAGCCGGCATCCTGAAGGAGTCCCTCAACATCAGCGGGCTTGACGGAGTACAGAAGGTTGCCCATGTAGATGCGACGACCCTCGGTAAGGGCGTCAGAGTTCTGCATGGTGGTGTCGTTGCCGATTCTGTCCATAGTTGCTGTTGTGTTGTATAATGGTTGAAAGAGCTGATGAGTCGTAGACGGAGGTACGCAAAAGCGAGTAAGAAGAATCAAAGACAATAGATTGTTTGTGGTGGTGAGGGTAACACTGAGGGCCTGAATATGAAGAAGTGAATATGACTGAGAGGCCAACGCAGGGAAAAAAAATCCTATAAGGCAAAGGCGAAGTACAAACGGCCCACAAAAGAAATTTTGGAGTGTTCCACTTGCATGGCTACTCCGTTCTTTTTTGGTCCAGCCTTCCCAGCTCTTGGGTCCAACCTCGGCGTGCTTGGGCAGGCATTACACGACGGGGGTTAGGGTTAGCCTTGGGTCTTGACAAACCGTCCAGGGTTTTTGTATTGACAATGCTCTGCTTATTGAAGGCAAGGTTGAAGGCAAGGGAAATGGTGACCAAGTGAATATCTTCTGTTGTAAACAGTGTTACAGCAGGAAAAGGGGGTTGTGCGTGACATTTGTCCCGCCGCAACACGTTCGGTATGTGCGTGCCCTTTGTGGTGGGCCATACATCATAATCTGGGCTTTGGGTGGTCTCAAAGTGCCCACAACACCATGCCCTGAACATCGAATCAACACTTGAGGAGCGGGAGGAAGTCTGAAAATCTGGAAAGGTGCAAGATAGGGCGATGTAGTCTTCACTACGCCAGTCTCTCGACGACAGTGAACAGACACCAAGGTGAGACAACATGCGGCCGCCTGTAGTTCCGTCTTGAAGGCCCAGGAAGTTGTGGCCGACTAATTATGGACGTCCTGAGTTTTCGTATGTGTCCTAATCTCTGATTTGGCCCCTCAGCAGCGCCGTTTGCTTGTCGCTGAAGGAGCAGGCATACCACTTGGTGTGCGCAGTATTCTTGCGTCTAACTCTCGAAAACATAGTACGGTCATCAGAGGATGTTGGACCTAGAGTAAAGAGTGAGAAGAGAGCACGCGCAACAATGGTTGTAAACGATAATGGAATTTGATGACAAGCTTGGCAAGAATATCTGGATTGAATGCCTCGCGTGCGTGCCTGTTGAGGAGTGGTTACGGCCTTGCTGAGACGGTATTTGAAATGCTAATCACTATGCCTTCGAGGGAAAGGTAGGTATTGCGCAACCCATGGGACTGAAAGACATTCGTGGCCCTCGGCTGGGTTGAATGGGACGAAGGCTATTTGTTACCTTAGACGTGGAAGATCGCCAACTGGAGAGCAAATGCCGGAGACGCGACATCAGATCGGCAGGTAAGAAGAGCGTTTGCTGCTGGCAACCGAGCCGTCCCTGGTGGCGATAGAACGTGGGCGCACCAACGCCAACAACATGGAACTTTCCCGTACGCGCTCAGGACGGCTCGAAAGGGTACCGACGAACGGATCGATGGGCTGCCATGTACTCTTCTACCCGTCCCTAGCAGATCACAAATCGGGATCGCATCTTAGACTGGCATATAAGATAGTGCAAGTAGGGAGACCTTGGATAAGAGGTCAGACTTGTGGTGGCAAACCAACAGGTTGGCGGGCTGAAATGAAACGAGGGAACGCTTTTGAACCTGACGGGAGAAGCAAACAAGTTCAGTGTTGGGGAAGAAGAGAACTGGCAGCGGAAAACAATTCAAACGGAAAGAAAGAATGGAAACCAAATTCACGATCTGCAGTCACGCTCCACCAGCCCCACAACTGCGTGGGGCATTGCCGCTTTTAAGGTTATCGTTATCAGCAGTGCACTCTGGGGTGGGGATGGCGTTCGTCCCGTCTGGAGGGAAGACATCATGATTTAGGTGATTAGAGTGATGTCAGTTTTGACTGTTCTCGCCGTCTCTTGCGACTTGTCTACCTTCCACTACGTATCTAGCAGTTTGCCTGGACAAAATCCATGGCGTGCGTGTTTCGAAGAACGCCTCCATCATGAGCAGAATCTCAGGTGGTAATGAAGCGTATGGATTGCTTGCACAGGCCGTATTCAAGCAAATGCGATTGTGTAGGATGCAGTTGGAAATGGAACGCCGAAAGACTGTCAAGCAGAACACGGGCTGCCACAGCTAGGTAACACATGGAACAGCTATGGAACTCGGGGTGTTGGTGGCTTGCTGATATTATTATTTGACTGTTGGTGGACTCCAGTTGCGAGACTAGAGTATTCATCCGCACGGTTTGCTTCCTGGCTGAAAAAAAAAACGACCATGAGCTCCTTGGCCATCAGCACGTCTCGAGACTCCGTCTTCCAGCACACAGGTCAAGAATGATGTGACTTCGGGACACATCTCACATCACCCCTTGACCAAAAAAATGCTCTAGGCGGAGAAACTGTGTAAAGAAAAGTTGCGAGGAAAACGGTGGCAGCATTGGTAGATAGAAACCGCAGACGAAACGCCCCAAAGATGGTATTGTGTTCGTTTCCCGCACCCGACCATCCGTGTCCATTGTACATGTACCTCAAAGACCAACTTTCCCGTGCCAACATCGAAGCCAGTCCGTTGACTTCGACGCTACGACACGGCAAACCCATGCAAGACCAGTCAAGAAAACCAGTGCCGGCTTCGCAACCTCGCTACCACCGCATTCTTCCCATGGAAGGCGTTTAGAAGACGAGAGCAGCGCCCTTGGTCTTCTTGTCACCACTGTTGTTACAAGCAAGTCAGAACCAATTCATCAGAGTACATTTTATAGGCCGAGAAGACACGGCATCATCGGCGGTCCATCGTGGGATATCGTAAGATAATATCGCAGTGGCGCAGCTTGACGATGGATCTGAGCAGAGCGGTAGTGGGTTTGGGTGATGCCAGGCTGGAAGCTGTATCGCGGCATGCTTCTTCTGTTGTTTCTGTTGATGCTTCCTCCAAAGTACCCAATTTGCTGCTCGGCACGGAACCCGATTTTGGCGATACTCCTGATTGTGTTGATGAATATCGACCAAACAGCAGCTGTCTGGCACACCGGTCGTTCACACCTTTCCCCAGCAAAACATGGCTTCGAATGCAATGCGAAGCCGTTCATGTCGCGTCGAGCTCTGTCGGTAATCGCCATCGTGTGGTTTCGGTCTCGCGTCCGGCAGGGTAGTGATTGCAGTCTATTGTCTCGCAGTTTGGCGGCGGAAATAGTCGCTTTTGTCGCGCATTGTCGCACATCCCAGATTCCGATGATGATGATGCCGTGTCTTCTGGATCCCAGCCATTTCAATCATTAAATAGGAAAAACTTACCCGAGCTCGAAGTGCTTGCAGCGCTTGAGGGGAAGCTGCTTCTTCTGCTTGCAGACGGAGCACTCCTGTAGATTCACCATTTTTAGCCCCAATCCCTCAAAGTCTTCAGATTCTCGATTCCGATTCGGGCTCCCGTACCAGTCTGAGGACGACCTTCTTGGTGGTCTTCGCCTTCTTGTGGAAGACGGGCTTGGTCTGACCACCGTAACCGGACTGCTTGCGGTCGTAACGGCGCTTTCCCTGAGCGAAAGCCGAAGCCTTGCCGGCCTTGTACTGGGTGACCTTGTGGAGGGTATGCTTGCCGCAAGAGCGGCCAGCGCAGTAGGTCTTGCGGGTCTTGGGTACGTTGACCATTTTTGCGATTCGGACGTCGGTCGTTGATGTGTGAGGTCGAAGATCGTACGCTGACCAGCTTCGGCTTGGATTTTTTGCCCACCTTGACAAATTTGGGTGGTGCTGCGTGTGCCCTGTGTGCCTGGTCTGTGCGCAATGCGGAAGAATTGCTCTCCGTGGCTCCGCGCCGTCTTTTTGCGAACCCGCTTATCTTGTCCACTCTCGCCTGCTTGTACATTTCAGCCAATGGTGTGCAATTGCAGTGCTGCTACAACTGCCTGCCGCCTTCTGTGTTCAACTTCCCGTCTCGTTCAACGACGAGCGAAAGGCAACTCGATTCCGCTTCCCTCCCCAACGGGTACATTTCTTCATTCCTCGTTACCTCGAACGGCATGTTACAAATTGACCCAAACACCTCGCGCGATGGTCTTGATCCTTGCACAGTTTGTAGAGTTTTCCTTGTTTTTCTCTTTGTTGCCGGAATTCGACTCGGGTCCAGCAAAGAGCGACACTTTGCGATTCCGTTCAAGATCGGAGAGGGAATCTCCAGTCTGGTTTACATGTCTTTCTCACAGTACCTCACCACCACATGGGTCTTAAGATCGAACTCATCATACTGCACCATTTCTCCGTCGCTAGTTTCGGCATTCTGAGGGAAAATTAAGCTCATTAACACTCAACTGCAGCGAAGCTCAAGTTATGCTTGTCCCTCGATCATGTTCTCCTACCTCGCGCGCACTTCGTACAGGGCTGTTCCCATCGTTGAATGGCTGAAAAGTCCATGCCTTCGGCACCACCCTAGTTTACCTCTCTATCTGGCTGCTCCGGCCACGATGCCTCTCGTCCCTTGCTTCACGGCCATATCCATCAAAGAACATGCTTCAACGTGACGGGGCAGTACCCTTTGTGAGGTCCCGTTCCAACAACCAACCAGGGGGGATACCGTCTCGTGCGACATCCGGATGGAGAAGACCACTGTCAGAAGTGTTTTAAGGTCTGTTACGGGCCTCAAGGAGGAACATATGTAAGTTGCAAGCATCCTCGAGCCTACAAGTTCATACTATTATCGTACCTCTTTGAAGCTTATGTGTCCATCCAAGGTTGAGGCTCTCTCCACGCCCAGCATCCAATCATCTCGGAATCCCCCAACACAACAAGAGCGTCTTGACAAGTCGATGAAAGATTGATTGAGACGTACGCAGCCATGCCTCCTCAAACATTAGTGGCAACAACGGGGCCGACGGCAGTTACTCCTCTCGCCAAGTTGGTGGTCACCTCTTTCCCTCGCATCCCGCTGACGACTCAGTTCGACCTGCCGGATGACTGCTACGGCGTCCAGTCGGACGATGTCTATCTCATCGATCAACATACGAGCTGCCTTCCGAGTGGTTGGTCTCCAGCCGAAACCGCTTTTTTCTCACCTGGTCTGATATGCCCGGAGGGCTACACCAGCGCATGCCATGACAACGGCGGAGTTTCAACGATCACGACGGTAACCTGTTGCCCACAGCGCGGAGATGTCGCACTTCAGTGCGTCGTTGAACCCACGGAGCTCGCCTCATCATTGAGCAACTATTATTGCAGATGGGAGGCACCGGCGGCAGGTTTCACTACCGATGTTACAAAATCGCCAAACGGCAAGACAATTACAGAACACGTGACGCTTAAAAGCCCCGATGCTTTAAACGGCTACGGTGTTCGCATGGTTTACCAGTCAACCGATAAGTTGACGACCGGCATGACCGGCACCCCAACGGCTAACGAGACATCGGAAGCGACCTTTGCAAAGAGCACTGCTTCTTCTTCTGCTTCTTCGTCTGCTACTTCAGTGTCCGGTTCCTCAAACACGGCCATTTCAACGACGGCCGTTGTGGTAATCGCCGTCTGTATCACAGTGGTCATATGTGCGTTTCTAGCATCTTTGTTTCTTTGGTGGCAAAGACGTTCGCAACCTCAACATACGAGCGGTCCAGGCTCAGATGCTCCAAGCTCTACCGCTCCGGCCCCGAAATCACCATTATCGAATGCTCCGCATCCGCATTCTTTACACTTGAATGCTCCAGCCCAAGTTATCCCACAGTCATCCGTATCGACTTCTGACCGCATTCCACATGCGAGCATGCAAAGTTCAACGTGGCATCCGATGCCGCCTTCACCGCTATCACAGGGCCCCTTTCCTTATCCTGTTAGCAAGTTGATACTGGATCATCAAGATGATGTCGAGAAAAGAAACAAACATATGGAAATAAGCAATTTCAGGGCCAGCGATACTACTACAACCTTTGATATTACCAACGCCGTTGAGTTACCCGTCCGATCATCGGCCAGTGAACTTCCAACACCTCGTTGAGCAAGGAGATATACTGTAGCCACGTTTGCATTATGAGATCGCGGACGCTGTTTTGTCAGATATGCAGAGACGGGTTGTATTAGCTTTGCACGACATATATGGGTCCGGCGCGTTATCAAGCTGGTTGGGATTTGTGATAGTTCCTATTCTCACCTTTGTCGGGCCTCAAATAATACTCCCCCCCCCCCCCCCCCCCCCCCCCATCCTTGCTGCGATACACCTAGTTCTCGTTACCGGCGAACATCCATCAGAAATATCCGCTTGTTTTCGTATGGTATCCGCCTTCACTGATCAAGGTCCGCCTCGGCAAGGCAAAATCCGGGACTGCGACCTCGAAGATGCTGTTTATATGATATCACGGACCCTTGCTTTCTTTCTATCGTGCATGTCAAACATGCGTTCCATCTGTACCTCAGTACCCAACCGACCCGTTGAGTGTGCTGCGGTGCTGCAGGATGAAGTTGTGGCTTGGCGCTGCCGGGCTGAGAACTTATCCAGATCACCCGGGAAAATGTCCGGACTATCACCATACCCTCTTGCTGGTTCTCTGGACGTCCGATCGCATATCCGTGTCGGACCCCCAAATTCAGATTGCATCAAGACGCATCTTCCGATGTCGGTTCCCTGAAAATATTCCCACCACCGGACATCAGCTCGGTGCATATATGAGAATTCTATAAAGCCCCGGTTTCTCGCACCTCTTCAAGACCTCAACTTTATACCTAGATATCACCGACAGTGAACTCCAACACACCTGAACCATGCACTTCCCTTCCGTCTTCCGCCTCGTGGCCACTGCCACTCTTGCAGTCTGCCAGTCCAGCAACAACACAACAGGCAAGCTAGGAGATGCTCGTCCAGTCCGTAACAATCCCGTCATCGGCGAAGTCTGGATGGCAAAGTTCGATTCTCCTACAGTCAAGGGTTTCGTGACCGCCGTCGCAAATACCGTTGGTGTCAACTACACTATTGACGTGACGGGGCTTCCGGTAGGGCAGGGGCCGTTTAGTACGTACACATCCAGTCTTTCGCCCCTCCTTAAAAGGAACAAAACACATCATCCACCCCGACGAGCGATATGTTTCATCCGGTCAAGTCACTAACCCCTAGCGTCATCACCCATGTGTAGAATACCACGTCCACCTCCGCCCCGTTCCCTCTGACGGTAACTGCGCCGACACAGCTGGCCATCTTGATTCCTACCTGCGCGGCGACAGTCCGCCATGCAACAGCGCGGCGCCTCAGACTTGCGAGGTTGGCGATCTTTCGGGGAAGTATGGAATGGTGACCGGACCTAGCGTGTTGAAGAGGTGAGATATTCTACCTTTCTTCCATTGAATTTCAGGCAAATAGCTATTGATGAGGTTTTGGTGTTCTGGTGTTGGTTGCTGATCGGTTCATGAAAATAAATCTTTACAGCTTCAACGACCCTTATTCAGCGCTTAATGTCGTCAACTTGGGATATATCGGAAATAGAGGAATTGTCTTTCATGATGCTAGTTCGGCGCGGATTGCTTGTGCTACGTTGCAGAAGGCTGAGTGAGGAGGTGGTTTGTTAGTGGTTACCGGTGTGGTTCATGGCTGGACTCTCCTTAGAATTGATTCATGAGGGAAGGATCGATGTGATGCTGGCTTGGAATGACTAGGGCATGGTGTTAACTATTGGAGAAGGTTGTGAAAAAGGTCAAAGGAAATGGATCATCTTGCTAAATCACTCAGTTCCTGTTCTTTGATCGTGAGTCGTTGATACCAGATGCTTGTCAGAGTTCCGTTTCAAGTGACATTAGTGGTAATCGAAATATTTCGGTGATCTATTTCGTGGTAGAAAATCGCACCAGTGATGGTCAAAAAACACTGTCCCCCTCACCCACATATCCAATATGGTAAGGGGGGACAGCATTTTTGGACTATGAGTTTAGGTTTCTGTGGAAGGGAGAATGGGAAGAAGATGGGAAGGGATAATGAGAAAGGGTGAGAGGAAAAGGCGATGGGAAAGAGCAGACAAGACTGGGGGGTAAAGACGGAGACGGAGAATCCGTAGTGCAACTTTAATGCAGCCTCTACAACACTTTGCGTCGATAGTTAGGTATGGAACCGAACATGAAATTGGTATTGATAGATTGTAGCAGAAAATTCATAAACCAAATGAGAAGCGAAAAAGCAAAACCTCGGCCGCCCAAGCCCCGGATTGAACACAGGACCAGCCGCAAGACCTACGAGAACATCACGTATTTTCTGCCCCAGGACGGGCACTGCCGCGTCTGCTACTGGAGGTGTTGGAAGGTCCTGAAGTGCGGGCTTATGTGGTCCCAGGGAAGGTTCTGCCGCTGGCAAGCTGCCCTGCGTCCAGTGCCCGTATGTTGCAGAGGCGGCTTCGTATGCAATGACTCGAGTTGACTCAAAGATAAAAGTCAACCACCAGCTCAAGTAATATTGACATCAGTATCGTACCTATTCAATGTCGAGCTGGTTGTGCCTTCCAAAATGATCAAGCCGGAACGTTAGAGGTTACTTGTACGTACCTAGAGGTAGTTGGATGTCCTTATCGATAAGTCGTAGCCATCAGGGTCCCCAACCATTCAATCCATGACGTCATGGCTTGCATTTCCAGAAGGCTTCCACTGCAGTGCCGTGGTTGCAGATAATCCCCTAACATTAACATATTCATGGCTGTCTCATCATTGGTCTCAGTCAGTTAGGGCTATATCTCACTTCTGATAATGCCAAAAATGCTTTTTACGAAGGGAACAACATCCGACGAGGGGATTCTGTTAACAAACTCAAACCTCAACATGGCCACATCGCAGCACCGCTCTCTGCCGCCCTTTCCACTCCGCCTAGATTGAATCATTCGCTGTGTTCTTAGGATTGTGATACTCAAGCGAAAAGTACTCGGTCCGTACAATCTGCCCAGTCCTCCGCGGCCCTCTCCAATTGTCTCCAAAGCTCTTCTCTTCCACCACCGGAGCGCGCCCGTCCGACAAGGGCCAGGGGAATATCCATCAACACCGAATAGGAGGCCGAGAAAATGTTGTAGTGTACCGTTACGTGAGGCTCCCAGCACTTTTTGGGCTTCAATGACTCCCATGACTTATTGATAGGTGTGCATGCGATTCAGGGAAACAGCGCCGTCATACCCATGGCTATGTTTATGATAGTTACGATGAACCGCAAGCATCACTTCATCCATCCATGGGTGAGTTGGAGCAGTGTGATGGCGAAGCTTTTCTTGGACTAAAATGGCTGAAATGGCGGAGAATGGGTCGGTCATATTGACAAGTAGCAGCAGGGGAGCCATGTTGCGGACCACATCGTCGGATTGGATCTTGATGGTCCAAGCTGAAACACCTACGGAAGTTCTCTTAGACCATGATATGAGAGTGAAGCTTCCCTCAAAAGTCTCACAAGCCTCAGATTGTTTGAAGTTCATCCTCCTGACCTATGTCAGATATCGGCTTGGCGGTCGTACAGATATGCTGAAGGCCAAACAGGGCTGAGGATCTATTGCCTTCGATATAGGTCCTTCTCTGATTGATATCTGTGAGATGAACTCACTGTTAACCGAGGAGCTGCAGGGCATCGCTTATTCGCGCGGATTTACGGCACAAACAAGGGGCCAGCTGCGCAAAGGTTGGGGAGAAATTTGTGCAAGAAATCGTGGGGATAAGGACGGTTGATCAAGAGTATGCCAAACTCTTGGATTTGTATTCAGACTCATGTCACATCGGTCACCTCTGTTGCAGTAATGCCAGACAAGGTACGCAGGACGGAGGTTGGAGCCCTTGTTACCGGTACCCAGTACTGCAATCTCGTAGGGAGTGTAACTATGTAGGTACCACAACCATTTTCCTTGGTTTTGACATTTGCCCTTGCATAAGACGGGTTGTTCTGGGCTCCGATGGCTGACAGGAAATCGATGTTTTGTTCCCCTCTCAAGACTTAGCGCATTCCTGATCCTTCGCAGACGGGTGGCGCCTAAAACTTGGCACCGGTAACGATTCGGAAGGAATTATCATGAGCGGAATGAACGCAGCCAAGACGCATCCCAAGACGCCAAACATCATCCATCAATAGACAAGCGTTCCCTATGATCTGTTGTCCGGAGCATCAGTACCATTGGTTATCCGTTCATGATTTTTATATAGTTTATAAAAAATGTTCCTTCTTTTAGAGAACTAGGGAGGAAAATGAAGCTATTACCATCACTCTCATATGAATGGCGAACTCTCTGCCAGTCAACAACACAAAGTATCTAGCAACGGCAGACGAGTCCCTGAATAGGCAGCTGGGCCTCTTCTGTTTCAGCCCGCAGCGCCCATTTTCCCGCACATCGATACATAGCCAAATGTGGATATAGATGTGAAAATCTGTTGCTTTTGCGGCCGTTAAGATGGTGATCAAGACAATTCTCCCCACAAACATGCGGTCCAACGATGCACCGCTGACCGCTGACCTGCAGGCGACTTCTGAACAACACGTGGGATGACAAGGGGGGAGAGAAACACTGCCAATACCATATACTTACACTCATACCAAAGGCGCTAGCTAATTCATCACATGCAGCTAGTCCCGCCGTGCATATGCTACTTTTTTTTTACCAAAACTGCCGGGTTCAGTAAATGTCTTACGAATAAATACTCGTATGAGAGCGGTATCCACAATCTTCATGATCTCTTCACAGCAAACATAATGAAGATCTCTTGCGAGTATCGGTGTCTCGCAAAGACGGCCAGGGCAGAGCTACACTACATACACCATCCACGTCTTTCTTTAACGCCCGATGATGCAACGCGTTCCACCTGCGGCAACTGAAGGCACACAAAGAGATCGTCGGCCGACTCAAGGCGAAATACCTCTTTTTTTTTTCCCCATTCTTTGAGATAGTTACTGAATGTAGTACTTTCGATGAGGATAGCGCATATACGCGACGGCTTTAGTTGCAGACGAGGAATCGGTCCAATGGGATTCTCACATCTCCCTGGCTAGCGCCTTTGGTACCTAAGTATCTTACGACTGAATTCGAGCGGTTCACACCACGATGCCAAAATCTTCTCCTTACCGCTTCTGGAAAGGAAACAACTTTTGTTTCCTGCAACTTTTGTTTGTATGTAACCATAAGAACTAAACCCTGAAGATCTCCATCTTTGCGCCTTGGCCTCTACCCACTGTCTGCCGAACGTGGAAAAGACATGGTGAGATTTCGATGGAGATGAACTACCGGCACCGGCCGTTTAGGTCAGTTCCACGCTGAGACAGAGAATCGGTCGAACAGGAAAGCCAGATATAAAAAGGTCTCTACCTTTATAGAAATCCCGTTACCTCGATTGTCTGTCTACCTCGACTCCAGTCTTCTACTCAGCAACTTCAAGACAGCAAAACCAGCATCATCATGAAGTCCTTCGTCCTCACGGCCCTCGCCGGCCTCATCGGCGCTGTCCAGGCTACCGTCCAGGGCTTTGACATCTCCCACTACCAGGGCAGCGTCAACTTTGCCCGCGCTTACTCTTCCGGTGCCCGCTTCGTCATCATCAAGGTGAGTTGTTACCTCTGATCTTGGTCTCACACCAAGACTTCGTCATCTCTTCACAGCACAGGACATCTATCCATCCGTCCATACTAACTTACCACCACCACCACCCCTCAACAGGCCACCGAAGGAACCAACTACATCGACCCCAAATTCTCCTCTCACTACACCGGCGCCACCTCTGCCGGCCTGATCCGCGGCGGCTACCACTTTGCGCACCCGGACTCCTCCTCCGGCGCTGCTCAGGCAGACTACTTCCTCGCGCATGGCGGCGGCTGGTCCAAGGATGGCATCACCCTGCCCGGCATGATCGACCTCGAGTCCGTCTCCGGCAAGGCGACCTGCTACGGCTTGTCGACCTCGGCCATGGTGTCGTGGATCAAATCCTTTTCCGATCGCTACCACAGCAAGACGGGTCGCTACCCCATGATTTACACCAACTACTCGTGGTGGAGCAAGTGCACTGGCAACTCCAAGAGCTTTGCCACGACCAACCCGCTGGTGCTGGCGAGGTGGTCGAGCTCGGTCGGTACGATTCCTGGAGGGTGGAGTTATCAGACTATTTGGCAGAATGCGGACACGTATACTTATGGCGGTGATTCGGATATCTTCAATGGCTCTCTCGATCGCCTCAAGGCTTTGGCTAAGGGCTCTTGAGCAGGGAGTTGAAAGCGGGTTCCTAGGTTGCTTGGATTGATGAGAGTGGTGGTTCAAGACTTTAACAAGGGCCGAGGCTGAACCGTTTGCACGGCGGGAAGGTTTAGGCTTTTCTTCAAGAAAGGGGATAGATGCCAACATACCTAGGTATTTCGTGGAAATCGTCTAGAACGTTAGCTGTATCAAATTCGAAGCTCTTCCCGGTACATACCTGTGCTTTTAATCATTGCCAACATCTGTTTCACTGTTACGCACTTCAAATGCTGACTGGTGAAGTGATCGAAGAGTAGAACCCAAACCCAATTGTCATGATCCCGATTGAGAGAGATAACACTAAGTATAGGGATCTAGGCAATCCGGGTGACTGATACCATGACCTCGATCGGCAACTATTTGGTAACCAGTGATGGACACCCAAACCAGTCAGATTCACCCTTGACATGTTTCAGCCTGTTTCGACTTTGAAATGTTAAAAGTTTCCGTCTCTCTCAGTTGCAGTTGCCACCGTGCGGGACGAAAAGTTACAGCTAAAGTGGACGTCAGCACGAAAGTGACTTCCTAACCACGGCAGACGGCACATGGCGGGTGGCCCCGTCCGGTCTACCTGGTAGCTTGCCTATCTTTTCGGCTTGTCAGCGAATTTGATGGAATGAGCCCATCTGCAGATGGACATTTACTTTCTACTCGTTTGTGGCATCAGCAATTTGGGTTGAGGCTCTCGACAGCCGCATACCAACCTTGTCTTTTTTTTTTCTTTTGATTAGGGATCGTACACTGTTCACTCCGTCATTCTCATGTATACCATATGTCCTTCCATCCATCTCCATTTATACCTGTGCATATATACCGACACCGAATCGCAGAACTCAAAGTAGTGTAAGTAAAGAGAAAAAAAGAAAAAAAAAAAAAAAAAAAAAAGGTACCGCCGCAAGTTTAGGAAAACAGGCTCGCTAGGTATGAGCGTTTACCGTCAAGGAAGAAATGACGCAGAATGAGTTGAGGACAAAAGAAAATGAAATTATTATTCGAGCACAGAAGAATGAACACTTGGTTAGTTATAATCCTGGGTAACCACTAAATCATGCTTCACAGCAATTGTCCCTTCTATCGGTCCCGCCCACCTCGACTGCTGCTGCTGCGACCCAACCCTGATTTCTGTCCGCACCGTCGGCTGCAGACCAAGCTGGTTAGGTGACACGTAACCGCCTTCCTCTGCACGTGTTCCCCCGGGGCCGCGGTTTTGCGACGGCGACCGGTCAAATAGATTCTTGCTTGTCGTCCTTGAGTGGTGTTCTCCGTGTTGTACAGGAACTGTTGTGTGGGCGATCACGGCCGCGTGCTTCTCCAGTTGGTCCTGGCTGCCAGATTTGGTTTGGAGCTCGACGTCCTCCGGGTATACGACGCTACGGCCACCGAACTTGCCGGATCTGGGCTTGCTACCAAGACCCCTGGTGCTGCCCTCGGTGACGTCGCGGCCGGATGAGTGGTGGACGTACTTGGCGTGGCTGGGGGCGCTGTGAGAGCTCATGCCAGGTATGACGTGCGACAGCAGAGGACGAAGCGTAGGCAGACAGGAGCAGACAATGCCGGAACCGAGTTCTGAGACGGACCAGCAGGAGGAGTCGACGTTGTCCCAAGTGGTGTCATCGCTGAGCTTGAGATATTGGATGCGGATGATGGAGATGGCGCAGGTCTAAGAAGGAGGGGCAATGTGTTAGTAACCAACTGTCATGTTCAAATTACAGACCGCCATGGGAGGAATGCTTACAAAGAAACCAAGACAGAAGACGCCAATAAGCGCTATTTTCTGTTGCTTCCGAAGATTCAGACTTCCCAGCGCCGGTAGGGGGATGATGAAGATCAGGACGTCGGTAACAATGTTGCCAGCCGCATTGATGTACCAGAAGGGCAAGTTGGGCATGCAGTGCCCGTTCGGGATCGAGTCTCCGAGCCAAAACTTCTCGATCGGGGTGCAGGAGAAGATGACGATAAGCAGCTGCGAGATGGACCACATAGCAACAAATATCAGTGCATAGACGACAACCTTGCGCATCTGTCGTGTTCCCAACACTCGGTAGTACTGGAGTAGGAAAGTGAGCTTGATTGCCGTCAAGGACGCGTTGTAAAGGACGATGGAGATGTAAAATGTCTGAAATTGGAGTTAGCACACACCAACCAAGTGCAATAGCTGACTGTCTGAAGGCTTACCCTGAAATACTTTGGCAACTCGGTCCAATCGATCTTAGGATCGCCCATGTGGTGACCAGCACCATAGATGGTGTCTAGTAGCATGTTAGTACGATATGACACTTGTGAGCCTGTCACAGAACATACTTGAAGCCACCATGATACCACTGCCCATAGCAAAAACAAGAGCAATGACGGCGGCATAGTCGTCCATGCCAAATTGGCGAATCAGCACGGCACGAGCATATGTTCGGAGGCCAACGGCCAACGTAGCGAAGCCCAGCACCACCGTCACGACCGTAATGGGCACATGGGCGCGCGACTCCCACACCTTGTCTTGTCCCGCTGCGGTCGAGGTCGACATTGTTGTGGTTTACCTACAGGAGAGTGTATGCCCTGGAGAACGGGCTGAAACCCCCGAAAAGGGCTGCTGTTGAGACTCGAATTCGAGCTAGAGGACCGTGTCGGTGATGTTGAATAGGCACTCAATGAACGGAACGATATACTCCATGGCGAAAAGTTGAGAGCGGGTCAAGCGTCTGTTATATGAAACACCGAGGCCGGTGTAGTCAAGATCGGCGCTGCAACATGGACGCTTTGCGGCTTGCCTATCCAAACGGCTAGACTATGGGAGGGGAAGTAGTCCCGGATGGAACAAGATGTAACGCTGAACTGTATGGCCGATGCAGTATCTCTTTCAATCTCAGTCGCAGTGCCTGGCCCCTGGGTATAGTACCAATGCTGAGTTTACCTTGTTGAACCTGGTTTGGTCTAAGAAGGGTAGCTAAGCATCTTCCCCGGATTTCCTTTCGCACACTCTCTCCCCAAAAGTCCTTATCGCTTCGCATATGTGAATGCGCGCAGATTTTGAAGGTTTTCCTGCTGTACAGGAGTATATCCATGACGACAAGGAGAGGGCCGGTGGATGCGAGATCACCCGTATCTCACAGTGATGGTGGTTCTAGCTATAGTCGCCACCGCATCTCGATCAGAATGGGTTGCATTGCTCGCAGTTTTCCATGTGCTGGTCTGGAGGATCTGAAGTTTGAACCAGGAGAAGGTCGGTGGTCTTCACCCTATTTGGGAAGGCCATCGTCGCCTGGCCTTTATGCAGACAGGGAGCGGTATAAATTCATCCGAGCGCTCTTGTTGGCCAATGCCTGGTCACCGAGGCGCCGAGAAAACGACCTTTGGGTGTCTTGGTATCTGTAGACTGCAGCTCCAGCCATGAGATGTCTCAGTGTGTGACCATGGTACCGATGTGGGAATGTGTGCACAAGGAGCTCTGTTCTTCTCAACATGCGGGTCGGAAGCGATGGATGGGTCGTGTTGGACAAAAACATGAACCTTGGACATGGAAACCAAGGCGATGACTGACGAGAAGGAAGGCGATATGCAGACCTCAATCCGACGCGTTGTTGACACTTTTTCGACGGTCTGGCTTCGAAACCCGTCAGAATCGTGTTGACTGCATGTTTTCGGAAGCAGTCAGTAGCTTAGCTCGGAGATGGAACCTTCTCTACGAGTTCTAAATGTGAGGGAGTTGAAGGATTGAGGAGTTCCGTGATCAAGATGGAAATGATAAGTAGGCCCGCTCGCTGGATAGGAATGATCAATGTCAATGCCAAATAGGGCAAAGTCGGCCCTTGGAAGAAGCCATGCTGATTGGCGATAGCTTCTCGACCAACGAATGATAAAAAGTGAAGAGTCTGCCAAAGGAAAGGAGACAATAAGGAAAGGTGTGAATGTGTTGCTCAGGAACAGGAAGAAATGCCAAGAGACGTCAGAATAGGCGTTAGGATGAGTGTACATAGGCGAGTCCGTACACACGCCCAGTTAAAAGAGGAGGCACGGACGGGAGCTAGGGACAAGTGGGGTTAGTGCAGAGAGGCCCCACACTCAACGGGGAAGAATGCGCTGGGCACCGTTACCTAACCCGGATTTGCTGAGCATGGTCAGTGCGCCGGCAACTGCTGTTGTGAATCCTCCAACATCTTCCATCACTGTAAGTTCAATGGTATGACTCTATGACCGCGTGATTTAATTGTTTCGCAACTCGTTTTCCCGCTTCACCTTTTCGTTTGTCCCTGACCAGTCGACCTACAGGCGAGAGCCATTCCTGTCAAGGAACCTTCCCTGCCGGGTATTTGCCCTTTTTACCTCTTGATACACTAACAATCGTCGCTTTTGCATATCACGGCTTACATCTGACGGCGGAAAAGACGGGTTCAAGGCCCTAAAGGACTCCAGGAAGAAAGAACAGGGGCGTTGCTTAACTCTGTACAACCACTTCCACTTCCATGTTCACATGGAAACCCGACGCGGATGAATGTCGTAACCTTCTAGCGCTTGCCATTTGGGACCATAAGTCAGCTCATGTCAGGGGGGTACCATGGGCGGGATGAAGGGTGTCCTGAGGGGAACCTCTCGTACCTCTCCACGCCAAAACACCAAAATGTCCCCCTGCATTGCAGACGAGAAATCTCCACCGCGGGAGATCAGCTCTTCCATCTTTCGTCGCGTCCTCCACAGACAAACACCTCTCTGGGCTGAGCTACTACTACTTGGTATGTAGTGTACAGTGTCTACGCACATCCCAGCCCCCCGCATTTTTGCAAGGTGACTTCTTCACCAGGGATCAAACGACCCTTCACACTGAATTTCTTGTCCCCGGACAGTACCAGGGTTCAAGTGTAGGGATCAGTCTTGATACTTTACACTCCTAACACCGTTACTCTGCACGATTCCATACTACATTGAGAAGCTTTGAAGGATTTTGGAGAGAATGGAAACATTGGAGACGGAGCCATCTTCTGGGTTTCTTAACCTGCACTGCTTACCACCTTCCGATCAAGGACATACAGTATACTGTCGTATCGTCCCAAGATAGCCTCATTCTAGGTTCGACCTTCGTTTCCGCCCAAAGTCGCAAAACACACCCTCAAGCGCCCTATACCGAGGCATAACCATCATTTAACAGTCAAATACAGGAGTCGCAATCGCTCAACGCCATCTCGGCACGCACCCCGACCACCTCCTTAAAGCAAACTTCCTTGGGCGTCTCTTCCTACAGCCCGGGGACGGGAAAACCTCTTAGCAACCCCAAGCGCCATGGCAGTACCCGCCTAGAGGTGGTGCAAGGTGTCAAGGTAACCAGACACCAAAAACCGACAGCCTGGAGTCATTTGTACTCTTTCTGTCATCACGGACGGCAAAGCAATATCGCTTGTCTAACCGACGGTTTGTGGTATCATGCAATAGTACCTCCCCTTACACCTAGTATTTATGTGTGTTGTGAAAAAAAAAAAGAAGGAAAAAAAGAAAAAAAAAAAAAAAAAAAAAAAAACCTCCCTCTCCTATCATAACCCTCGAGGTACACATTGAACCCAGTTTACGAGGATCTGGAGCCTCGACGAGCACATCACCATCCAAGGCCCTGGAGACTTTCAATAAACCGAGTCTTTCCCCATGGGGGAGACTAGACCGACAAGATTGAAAAGACGACAGGCGGACCTTGCGAAAATCTAAGAAAAGGTACTCTAACTGAAAAGATGGACGAGGGTTAACATCGCAGAACGAAAACGAGGGCCCTGTATATGCGGCCACTCAACGACATCACCATCACCTTGTCTGCGTACCAGCGGGACTATTACCAAGTGCAGCACACGTATCGATACGCAATGGCCGTACAAGTTACGTCTGACGACAGTTCTCAAACCCCCACGAGAGCCGAGCGATATACTTTTCCCAGGGGTTTGCAGCCGTTGGCCGATGCCAATGCCCGGTACCATGTCACGTATAACGATGTGATGCGTTGCCATTATACAGCATGTAGCAGAGACATCCAGGACTCCTTAACGGTCTAAAGCGACGGTTTACAAATGTGTTTTATGTATTGAGGGGAGCTACGGTAGCATGTGAAGGACCTAGGTGAGGTGCTTAATTCCGAAGCTCTCGATGCGCCCGAATTGTAACTCAGCACTATCAAGATGCCCAGGGTCAACATTCGCCTCGACCAAGTTACTCCAGAAGTCTGCCCGGAGACTCAAAATGGTAGTTGACTATTATTTTGCTAGTCATTAATAATGATCGGTAATCACCGGGACTGCATGGCACCAAGGAACCCAAGCTGGCTGGTAAGGTAGCATGAAGAGAAAAGGAGACGGCAATCCCTAACCCTTTCCCCTTTTATACACCACATACAACTCCTCTTGCCCCATTTTCACGTCCATCGTGAGGAAGTTAGCTGTACGCAAAGATACGACTTTCATTGTCGATTAAAATTCATGATCCTTTCTCGACATATGGATGCCGCATCGCACCACTCCTACGGTGAGATTGCACATGACCCTTACTCATCGATTGATTGGGCCCAATAGCTGCAGTCAACGTGGCGAGTGGAATTCTTTTGAGCCTTTTAGGCTGGCTCGAGGCTGGCGAGGTGGCTGTGTAGGTATGGATGATCAACCTCGATCGAGGCCCAACGCGGGGCTCTCCGACCAAAACAAGGCTGCTGTCGTGTTACGAAAGCAACGATAGGACTTTTGCGGCTCAATAAATATTACTCGGGTGGGCGGAGCCTCATGATATTCCAAGCTTCTCCAGCTAGTGACTGAAACCACAATGGGTCCTCGTCTCGGAATCAGCATACTTTCTCCCTGTGAGTTTGACCTGGTTATGTACGCCAGTTCTTGAGGTTATCCAAGCTAATATATTTGGACTTAGCAGAAACGGGGGCAAGCTGGGCGATCCATGAGAAATATGTTGATTGTTCGACATTGATTGACCTCTTACACCCTGAGTTTGGTAGCCTACCCGATCAATGCTACATGTCAGTCTAGCTGCGGATCAAAAAAAAAAAAAAAAAAAAATATGGGGAAGAGAAATGAAAGCAGTGAACAGGGGCTGATTTATGTACCTCAGATTCATGCGCAAAGATGACTACCCATCCGTAAACGGAGGACGCGAAGCCCTCCTTGCCGCCCTCAACGTTCCCGCCTTCGTCGCCAGCAGGACCTGCTTCGAACTGAACGGCTACGCAGGATGTCGACCAGTATTCAAAGAACCGCAGCAGACTGATGATCCCTTTGGGAAGCAAGACGCTACCCCTACACTCACATCCTGCACGACATGGTTCCACTATCTCGCAAAGATGGTCCGCAAAATTGACTCCTTCCAGAATGAGCAGAAACCCCACGACGAAGAGCCCGAATATGTCCGTGAAAAGTCCACAGAGGGATACGAGTGGTTCGAAATGAGCATCTTCACCCGCTGGGATGCGCCAGGCAAATGTCGGGTCCTGTGTATCGACACTCCACCTGATTGCCCTGAGCGCCTCAAGGACGCCCTGCTGAAGAAGAAGAAGAGTCTGAGTCTCCCGGAAGCCGCCCAAGCAGACCCTTTTGCCCTCCACGCCGACCTCCTAGACATCATAATCGTCTATTCCGACATTTCCGTTTGGCGCGTGCGCGATCCGATCCGGCTCCTCGAAAAGTCGCGGCTCAACGGGCACGATCTGTTTGAGCAGATCCACGACCACGCAAGGCACGCATACCACTCGTCCGAGGTGCTGGAGGCGGCGATCCAGACGGTCGAGCAGTTGGGCAGATATCAGCGAGAGATTCATGAGACTATTGCACATGGGCAGCGCAATGGCAGTGGCAGTGGCGGCGGCAGCCGCTTGGGCCACAGTCTGACTCTGACGTACAGAGCGCAGGCGAGGGAGTATACGCAGTTTCAGATTTCGTTGGTGAAGAGTTTGAAGCTGAGGAGTGATTCGAGTTTGCAGAGGTTGAAGAACGAGGTTGGACTGGTAAGTTAAGCCTTGTTTGTCGCCACTTGATCACGCATTTTTCAGGTTGTTTTCGCTGGTGGTGAACTTTTTGTGAGGAAATGATGCTGATGAAAAACCAAAACAGGCGTACAACAATATTGCCAGACAAGATAACAGCGTCATGAAATCGATAGCGCTATTGACTATGATCTTTCTGCCTGCCACTTTCATTTCGGTATGTCCCCTAGCGTAGCTAGTATCTGAATCCCCTTTCAACCAGTCTTGACTGCCGTTTTTTCAGTCTTCTTTTCTTTGGGTACCCATCGCTCCTTCCTCACTTGAACCTGACTGCCCGCTAACCACCAGAGCCACGTGATACCAGGCCCTCTTCAGTACCACCTTCTTCACCTACGGCGACAATGGCAAATGGGAAGTCTCCGACGAGTTATGGATCTACTTTGTCACGACCGTACCAGCAACCATCGCCATCGTGGTCTTTTGGCGGGTATGGTTGGACTACGGTGATGTTATCTACAAGTGGTTCATGGGATCAGTGTTTCGAGCGTGGAAGGGGGCGACAAGGTCCGTGTCAAAGACGAGAACAATAATTGCAAAGAGTCGGATTAAGACTGATATGGAGGATGAGGTTGATCCAGCCGGATTGAGGACAGGAGCTACGGTATAGAACAACGGCCCAGGGGCATTTCGGATGATTTCGATAGATCCATTTACATCAGGTAAACACCTCCATGTACTACAGCATCCTTCATCTCCGTTTCTCTTCCAGTCTGATCTGCTCTCCCTAAAAAAACAGCACATCATTCATCGAGATGGTCACGGATTGATGGGAGATCACAGCAAACCCATGGCGATGCTCACAATAGGTAGTTAGCATAGATCGAGAAACGACTTGAAATGCGCACTACTGTTTACATCCTTGTTATCTTACGTTTGCTTTCTCAAGTTCACGAGTACACTGTCACTCGATTAAACATTGGATGAAAGCAAGTTGGATGCCACGGTAACAGTACAAATCGTGTAAGTAGGAAGGCACCAAGTATTGTAGTCCAAGACTTCGCACAGGTCCTGGATAACACGACTGCGAATCTCTTCACCTCTTACAATTCACACGCTGGCTGGAGGTTGCCCTGTTCACTACCATGATCATTGCGATTACGACTAGCCTCGTGAACCGCGAAGTAATCCGGTGGTGCCAGCGTGGGTGAGCTTCAGTTATATACGGGTAGAATTCGACCACCGCTTAGACGTGCAGAACTTCGTTCAGGCTGCGGGTCTTGCCTTTTCTCAGAAACCAATTCACTTGTAATTCCATTCACTCGTCCTGTCCTTCTGTTACTACCCCACTCCTTCCTCTCTTTCTGTCGCGTTTGGCTACTTCTTGTGTTTTTTTCCGTCGACCTTCAATCTCGCGACAAGGCCACTTTCCAAGGCAGATGATCAAATAGTAACGCGACGACATCGATAAGTCAACAATATTTAGCCATCAAGATGTCCGTGTCATCTCCGGGAACCATTGTCGACAAGTCCTACGACGACCTGAGCTGGGTCGATTTCCGGCTTGACCAGGCCGATGATATCACAGCTATTAAGAAGTCGCTCACGAACCAGGCCTGGTTTGAGCCCTTGTCGCACCCCGAAAAGGATATGAGCGGCTTCAACGTCGCCATGATCGTAATGCGCATGATTTACGGCAACGTGCTGGCGACTCCTGCGACGGCCGAGCCAAGTCTCGAGTTGCCGGAGGACGACGAGGACTGGGAATCAGAGCCCGAAACAAACGAGAAGAGCGAGCATATGCATCTCAGATCCTACCTCTACGACAACGAGGAGCAGTTTCCCCTCCTCGCAGTATCCTGGGTCGACATACCCGGAATCCTTCAGAAAAAGGAAACGAACAGCAGTACCGAGCGCGTATCATCATCGGCGGCCTACGACAGAACGGTGTTCGAGATGGCCGAGCTACTCCTCTCCAGCTTCCCCAAGCACCGGCATGACGACGGACCGATATCTTTCTCCTACATCATGTCCAGCGACCTGGCCAACGACGCGCTCTGGAGCCACCCCTCCTTTCTCTACTACTCCCCAATCGTCGGTTGCGCCCCCGCCGAAGCCGGACCGTGGACGGCCGGTCGCAAGAAAATCCCGACGCGCATGAATGCGCACTACTCCCTCCTTCATTTTGACTGGGCGCTTGAGCGCAAACAGTTTGCTGGTCTTGGCGCTTTTTTGACGTCTGTGGTTCTTCCTCGCCAGCGTCCAGACGGGCAATGGTTGCTCTATCAGCCGAACTTTCCCAAAGTGTTGCGGGTCAGATATGTGCCCGCCGCGGACACTCGCCGTTCTTCTTCGCCTGATGGGGGTGTCAGTCCCTACGACCAGAACCCCGGATTTGACGACCTCAGACACATCACCATCGGCGGCCGCAGAATTGACACTTCAACCTCTCTGGCAGAATGGGCGCGCAAAGATAAGCAAGGACAAGCCATCAGGCAGGGATACTCCATATTTGCTGTAGTGCGACTGCGTAACTCGAGCAATCCGAAGGAGCAGGATCTGGTACGGACTTACGATGTGCAGCGGATTGCCGACATGGAGCGAAGGGCGGACGGCATTGTGGTGCCCGAGATGTCAACGACGAGCAGGACGGGAAGTGCAACGAGGTACTTGACTGATGGGTGGAAGCTGGGTGAGCCGGGTCATGAGTACGATTTGTTCTATTGTAGGGATGAAGCTGAGCCGGAGGGTGATGCTCGTGCTTCTGGAGCGAAGACTGGAAGTGCCAAGGAGGTTGGTGGTGGTGGAGATGAAGAGGAGCAGGAGCAGAGGGAGAAGCGGGCGAATGACATTCCTTATGAAAGTATCGAAGATGGAGATGCCACTCTGCAATGGGAAGGAGCAAAGTGAAGTCTTGCACTCCTTGAATCTCGAGGGTGAGCAAGAACTTCAAGCTTTGCAAGGGCAAAAGACTGGAGCAGCCGACTACATTGAGGATTTTTCACACGCTCTTACCGTTCAAAATACTTGTAACGCAATACTACAATGCGTTAAATCTGAAAACGGTGGGCTTGAAGAAAACTTTGGGGTGCTAAAGTTGGGATGTAGTGTCATATGCTCCTGTGTGATGCCTCTGGCTCTCCGTCAATGTAACAGACTTTTTCATGGTGCTCGATTGAAAAAACTGAGGAAATGACATATAATAGTATTCCCAGATTGAAAAGAGAGAGTTGGGAAGGAGCCAAACGTTAGAAGTTTGGAAACACAATGGTGACAGTGATGGCAGGTGCATTGGTCGAGGAACTAAAGGGATCGCCGTATTCAGTTTACAATCGACGGGACCAACCCTAACCCTAAAGGTGTTTCTGCTCTCTGCAAAGGCATGTCCTCCGGCAGGCATCACACCCACCCATCGCGCACCATCGCGACGATGTCGCTTTCACTTTGTTCCAATCCCAACTTTCAACTTCAATAACATCAGCCGAATATTGACTGAATCTGACTACAGAAATGGCCGAAACACCGCCATCACTCCATCCTGACAATCATTATGCTTCTTCAATACTATTCTTTTATACTGAACGGCCGAAGCTGCCCAGCATTCGCTTGACGACATGCGCATCACAATGTCAACATGAATCTCCGTCCTCGACCTCACAACTTTCTCAAGGCAAGACATTCTAGCCCTTGATACCTGCCGCCATGTTTACATGCGTGGTGGACATTCCCATTCCATCGCATAGATGCCATCTGCTTTGCGAGACTACCATCCCTTGCAGGTTACGCGAGGAATACCTACTGTCTGCCCGTTGGAAACACTTGTCGGGCATTCGAGGAAGACTCTGAAGGGACACTCGAAGACAACATCAACGTCCCAATGATCTTCAGAAACCCAAACATCCTCCAGGTCCAGTCGCCCTCCGCCAGGAATGCCAACCTCAAGACTGTCTCGAATCTTCATCTTACCACTTTTCTTTCCCATCACGAGCATTCCAGCTCACGCGTCTGTTTGCCATGTTTTCCTTGCTTCTGGATAGTCAGTCCAATCGTCAAGGGCGCCTGCGTGTTGATGACTTGGAAAATTCTGGATATTGGTGTCCTGCCCTTGATATCAACATCTTCAAATACCAACCCAGGCCATCGCCTGCTTTCTACCATTCCCTTTCTTCTCTTCGTCCTCAGTCGCTCTTTTATGCTTCTTTCCCGACTTCTTCTTGTGTTGGCCGTATGAGCCGACCTCTTTCATTTTCTTTTTCCATTCGTTCGTCTCTGAACAACTTCACCCTCCTTTGCCACCCTTTGCGAGGTCATCTCTCGTCAACATGGGCTGGCAATCGAGCCCTGGCCGCCTTGTCGTAGCCGCGGCCGGCCTTTTGGGCCTTGTCAACGGACAGGCTTACTTCGGAACCTATCAGGATACTCTTACCAAATGTGGTAGCGATAATTTCATCTATCTTGGCTGTTACGGCAACTTCCTCGCCAATGCTGGCGATTTCTTTCGCTTCGGTCCGGAGGGCTACAATGCCGCTGACCTCTCCTTGAGTTTCCCCGGATGGGACCCCGGCTCCGATTGGGACTCTACGCAGACTCCTCTTGACTGTGCTCGCACCTGCAGAGCTTACGGTTACAAGTATTCGGCCATGAGGGACAATAACTGTAACTGCGGCCTGCAGCTCCCGGCTGCTGCTGTCCCGAACTCGGACACTTCGGCTTGCAATGCTCAGTGCAGTGGCGATAGCACTCAGACCTGCGGCGGTGGCCTCAACGCCCAGGTCTACCTTGATCCCTCCTTTGCCGCACCGGACCAGGTGCCCATCACGCCTCGTAATGCGGATTTGGGTTCTACCTACAAGCATCTGGGCTGTTATTCCTCTCGCGGATTCGCCACACAAGACGACGCTAGGGCTAGGCCACTCGTTGATGACATCGAGACTTGTTTCGAAACCTGTGCCGGTTTGGGTTATCCTCTTGTCTTTGGTGCCAGGGAAGGGTAAGTCGCTTCCAACCTGCCGCTCCCTAGGGGCCATGTGATTAGCACTAACCGACTAAATGTGTCTAGTGCACAAATCCGATGCCAGTGTGGTACAAACTTTCACTCGGGCGACTATCGCATTCCTCCATCGTCTCTTCCAAACCCTGGAGACTGCAACGCTCTTTGTACAGCCGATGACACGTGAGTTCAACATACCTCTACCTATACTTTCTCCCGCATGGTCTAACGCTTCTCAACAGGAATGGAGACTGTGACCCACTGACCCAAAAGTGCTGTGGAAGGAATGAGCACTATCCCGTTTACGTCAGTTCTGAACTACAAGGATGCTATGTCCCGAGGACACCGGGGCTCAAGCAGTCAGCCGACCAGGCAGCTTTTAGCTGCTACAACCCACCGTCCAGTCTCTTGGGCCCTCCCAAGGTTCTTACTACCTCGCTATCGAGCGTGAACCAGGATAACATCATCGGCTCAAGGCCAGCACTCGTCCGCCCCTTGACCGTTACCACGGGTACGCAAACTTGGTACTTGAATGGGTGCTACGGCAATGTTCCTGCACAGGTTCTCGACCTCTCTGCAACGTCTGGCCAGATTATTTCGGATCTTGCCACTGGTACACTCGATGAGTGTGCGCGCAGATGCAGTTCGGACACTACCTTCAACTACTTTGGCATGGTCAACGGCAGGTGAGTAGTGCGCTTTAGACTCCACTGACAGAAAGATACTAACTCAAACATTCTGCCAGGGACTGTTACTGCTCAAACTCTCTTCTGACTCCTGGTCAAGTCGATGATATGGGAACTTGCCGAGTCCCTTGCAAAGACGATGCCACGAGAAGTTGCGGCGGTGCAACTACACCTGTCGTCTATTCTCTGAGCCAGAGCGGCGTGTACACAGAACGCCTGGCGAACATCGGTGCCGGCTTTCCGACATACACTTGTACACCCAGTAAGCCATTCACCTCCTCCCTCCTTCCGTGTTGCTCAGTAGTTAACGGTTCTCCGATTAGGCCGACGTGTCTCAAATGATGCGGCAGCTCCAATCACGTGCCCAGATGACAATGGAGTTTCTATTACCACTGCTCAAGAGAAAATGTACCATGTCGACTGTGGTATCGAATATCCCGATGGCGACCTAGGCACAGTAATTGTGGACAGCTACGCTGAATGTGCTGCGGCTTGCGATACCACCACCGACTGTGTTGGGTTTATCTATCAGCATGGCCCTGCCAATAGCAACGGCCTTAACGCACCGTGCTACCTTAAGAGCGAAGGAGCAGTAACTGCTGCTGTTTCAGCCGACATGGGTAACTGGGGTGGGAGATTTACTGGTTTCGCAGATGGCTCCAGTAGCGGTTCAGACTCCGGTAGCGGTTCAGGCTCTGGCAGCGGTTCTGATCCCGGCACTGGCAGCGGTTCAGGTTCCGGTGACGGTTCTGATCCCGGCACTGGCAGTGGCAGCGGTTCCGGCTCCGGCGACGGCTCTGATCCCGGCACTGGCAGCGGTTCAGGCTCCGGTGACGGCTCTGATCCCGGCACTGGCAACGGTTCAGGTTCCGGTGACAGTTCTGATCCCGGCACTGGCAGTGGCAGCGGTTCCGGCTCCGGTGACGGTTCTGATCCCGGCACTGGCAGTGGCAGCGGTTCCGGCTCCGGTGACGGTTCTGATCCCGGCACTGGCAGTGGCAGCGGTTCCGGCTCCGGTGACGGTTCTGATCCCGGCACTGGCAGTGGCAGTGGTTCCGGCTCCGGTGACGGTTCTGATCCCGGTACTGGCAGCGGTTCAGGCTCCGGCAATGGTTCAGGCTCCGGCAATGGTTCAGGCTCCGGCAATGGTTCAGGCTCCGGCAATGGTTCTGGCTCCGGTAATGGTTCAGGCTCCGGCAATGGTAGCGGTTCCGTTGTAAACGCTATTTTTGACAAAGTCTTTGGTCCAGCCTTCCAAGGAGTCTTCAGCTCCTTCGGTAAGATTTTCGACAACAACCCATTCTTCAAGCCCAAGAAGCCAGCTGGCTCCACTCGTGCTGTCTCTACAAGCAACGATGATGTCCAGGATCTCGAAACCCTTGCCAGCGATCCCTCGGACAGCACCGCCTACCGTTCAGATGCTTTCATCGGTGATGTGCTCAGCAATCTTAACCTCGGCAGCTTGATGAGCGCTGTCCCGGGTCTTGAAGATGTTCTCGGTGGACAGGATCTCGGTAGCCTGATTCCTGGAAATATTCGCGCCCCCAACCCGGCCACACCCCCGATGACCGTCAACTTGGATGAGCTGGCTGGCCTAGCCAGCACTGTTCTTGCAGCGCTGAACACTCTCCCCAGCGACATCGCCGCCCCTAGTCCTGTTGACACCGACTCGCTGATCACTCTTGCGAGCGCTATTACTGATGCGCTTACCACCGCTGCTGATGGATCCGGTCCTGGTGTGATCAATGGCAAGGACTTTGCTGGCATCCTCAACTCCGTTTTCGACTCAATCAACGGCATTGGAGGCATATTCCCTAAGAAGAGTACTAGCAGTAGTGCCCAGCCAAGCATGACTGCTGCACCTACTCGACGGCTTCGAGCGAGGGACGTTGCCCACATTGGCCCCCACCCAACCGGAGTGCTCCCTCCGGGAAACGGCCCTGCGGAGGTGTGTGATATTGCGACCCTTGCCCTTCCGACTAACATCTTCGCGCCTACTCCGCCCCCGGATGCCGGCCGCTGCATCCCCATCATCGGCTACTGGTATGTTGGCGAGACCACTTTGCTCCCTTGCTCCGAAGGCTATGGTGCCGGCGGCCCTCAGGAGACTGGTTCCCCTCAAGCACCCGGCTTCTCTGGCGGCCCCGGTGGTCACCCTTCCCCTCCTTCTCCCGCGGGCCCGCCGCCCGCCGTTGTGATTCCTGTTGCAGGCTCCATTGTTCTTACCCAGGAGCAATTGGACCATCTTCTCGAATCTACCAACATTGAGCTCGAGTGGACCAGCGAAGGTGAGCGTGTGCTCAACATTCCTGGAATTCTTGACATGAGCGACAGCCACAGCGACACCTTCAGGCTCCTGCTTGACCAAAGTTCCGACTCACTTTCCCACAGCACCAATCAGTTTGAGATTCCCATCTCGGGAGAGGTTGGCCTTACGCAGTCACAGCTTGACAGCCTCCTCCAGGACTCGACCCTCGATATCTTCTGGAACAGCCAGGGAGCTAAAGAATTGAACATTCCAGGAGTGATCAACTACAGCTCTTCTAGGAATGACACTTTTAGCCTCCGCATCAGCTCAAGCAATCACCACACCACATCCAGCGCCAGTGTCCCCGGTCCCACGGAAAGTTCCACTCCTCCAGCTGCTGGCGGGGAAACCCCGGATGGATCTGCTGCTGACGAGGACGGCGGCTACGATGACGTTGAAGCGGAGCTTGCCGCTCTCGATGCTCTGATCGCTTCGTTCGGTGACATCGATTTTGACGTTGGCGACCTTGACATCCCCGATATTGACGTGGAGGGTCTCGATTTCCCCAAGATCCCGTCCATTGACACGGATGATCTCGACGTCAATGTTGATGATGTGGATGTTTCGAGGATTGAAGAACCTGAAGCTCCTGAGTCACCCGAAGTACCTGATCTCGATGCCATACCAGCACCGACCATTGATGTCGATGGTGAGGTTCAAGTGGGTCTGGATGATGAGTCTGGGGTTCCTGTCGTCGATCCAGTTGATGAAGCTACTTGACTTCTCAACGGAGCTTAATACTGTCTTCGCATGTATTTTGGGGATGGATATTGAATTGGTGTCGATGCTAGGGAGATGATGGAGATGGAATGGAGATGGTGGACTTTGGACAGTATACGAGGAACGCGGTCTTTTTATGTGGCTCTTTGTTATTCTTCGACCATCGAGCTATTTTTTTGTGCAATTGCTACGAGTTAAGTTGATGATTGCTCGAGCATATAGTAATTAATATGGATGAAATCAAATTGACTTTTTGGAGGATAAAATTGTTCCTGCCGTGCTTTGCCATTCTTTGTATGGCCTCTTCCATTATGCTCCCCTCCTCCCGCCGGCGTCTTCCATCCCAACTCTTGACTCATTCACCTGCGAGATAGGCATGGGTCGGCCCTGTTGAAGGCTGCCGCTGTTGTTCTGATGCGAGACTTAGCCTTTGTCACTTTGATATGAACTGGTACTCAGTTTCTTCCAGAAACCATGCCTGCCAGTCACGCCTTCTTCCTCCTCAACCCCACCTTCTTTTTCCTCCTCCTCCTCCTCCTCCACCACGTACTTCAGGTCTACACCATTCGCGCCTGGCGTCGACCTTTGGCCATACTCAACAGCATCTCTGCTGACGAACTTCTCGATACTACTAGTAATCTACATACAGATACTATCCTGCTTGACTCCCCTTTCCCGTGCCAATCTCACGCTCTCTTCCTCTGCCCGGCTACATATCTCGAACTCGTACCGCGCCCCTCACCTGATTATCACGTCAATCCCATTCCGCTTTCCTGATGTATGAAAGTTGAGTCCCACTTCGTTCAATATTAAAACATACTGACCGTTCGCGTAGTAGGCTCGCATTCAAGCTACGAAGCAGCTTCAAGGACAAGTAACAGCGTACAAAGGCTCACGCATAATGTCGCGAACACCTCCTAACTCCGAATCGCTTCTGCGGCACGACCTCGAGGGCTTCTCGCGAGACCTACTTGGCCTTCATACCCGCTTTCAAGAAATGTTCCCGGTCCTCGCCACCTCCAGCGCGTCTGCCTCTACCGCGGCTGACGTGACTGCCAGCTTAGAGCATCAAGTCAGCCAGGAGGTCATGGCGAAAGTCAAGCAGGAGGTCACGAATATAAATCTTAGGGTTGATGATTTGCAACAAAGGCTTAATGCGCAAGGGGGTGATATCTATCGCAGTTGGATCCAACCGTTGCAGGCAAAAACCCAGCGAATTGAGGAAGAGATGGCGACGATCAGGGAAGAGAACACGAAAAGACAGCAAGCTGAGGAGAAAATGAGGGGGGAGCTGTTCGTGGTGATTCACAAGATGCAGGCTGAAATCGAGGAGCTGAAGAAGGCGCGTAATCAGGGAAGTGTTGAGGAGATGGAAATGCAGCAGGAATATGGGTTCTTCCCGAGAAATCTGAGGGAGATGGATTCTCCGGACCATCGAGATCTCGCTGCCCCAAGGGAGCTGCCTTTTACGGACGAAAACGTGCAGAGCTACACGTCGTCTGCACTGGTTCCGTTCAGCTCTCAGGTCGACAAGCACACAGATGCTCCCAGCACCAAGGAACTCGGCTTGGACTTGACCACTCGACCAGCTAACAGAGGACAACAAGTTGCAGCCAGTCTTCAAAATACACACCGGTATACAAGCAGCACCGACTCTGAGCTTCCAATTCCCGCTACAAAACGTCGTTCACACTCGGGCCGTCATCCTGGTACCCGTCTGGCATCAGAAAGTGACAATGACAATGACCTGGAATCGACAACCTCGGCCAATAGAGGCTCTACCTCGCAGTTTTATCTCCGTCCAGGAAGATACTCCCAAGGCACGGCAGCAACAACAACAGCAACAACATCTCGTAGCCGCAGCCCTCGCCGCAGCCTCGACGCGGAATTCCGCGTCCGTGATCCTTCCCGGTTCACGTCCAAGTTAGAGTCACACTCGGCCCGTCGCCGCTCTACCCCTTCCCACTCCGCTAGAGACATTCTTCTCGATCATGAACTCGACGTCTCCTTCCTGTCCATTCCTTCCCGCTCGCAACCGTCCCGCCGAACCAAGACAGCCAACGAGCTGATTGATAGGCACCTCTCATTCATCCCCAATGGCTGGCGCACTATCATAGCCAACACGGCGAAACAGTTGAGCGCGGAAGATTGGGACTGTTCGGACGCGAGAGTGTTAAAGAAGCTAGAGGAGCACTGTCCGGCTTTTAGCAACTTGGAGGAAATTCTTCCGGATGTCAAGATGGCTGTGCCGGCTTTGAGAGAGTTGATGAGGGAATTGGGGAGACATCCTTGAGTGTCCTCAGGATGAGAATGTTCGTCTGCGGGCGAAGATGATTATTTGCTTAAACACTTGCTCAAAGGACGAAGTTAACGACAAGTAGAATAGTAATTGTGAGCATAACGAGGAGATCACATGTATGGGAATTGAGGGACTAGGTGCTGTATGGAAGATCATATGGTTCATGTTGGACGATGGCGTTGATGTCGTCGTTGACGAGGAACACCCCTTTTTCGGGACCCTAACCCTATCAAATGGAGGCGGATATAGGCAGAGCACAGACTGTACGATTGAAAGTTGAACGTTCTTCAACCTGAGCTATAGGGAACCAGCTAGATATTGATTCAATGAACAGAGGATTGATGTACTTTAAGTTCTTTGCAAGAAAGGTTCGCCCACTATGGTATCTCAAGTTTGATGTTATACGATAACCTCAGGGATCAGCGGTGGTGTCTTGCGTAAGTGGAAGTAGTGTACGCAGTAGCGGTACCGAGTCCACAGCGGATAACTTGGCGGGAAGGCGGGGTTCTGGGAGCGGTTCTAGTGGTGCCGTGTTGCCCCCAATAGCACTGCACTGCCCCGTCCTCTTTCTCGCCGCAGCGTCAGCTATGTTAACCTGGTTGTCCGACGGTCTCCGGCTGCGCCACTCCCTCCCGCCACGGCATCTTGAGGTTCCCGCCTTCCACTTCCATCCTCGTTCACCTTTTGTCATCGATCCATCGTCTTATCTGACTTGGTTATTACAACTAACCGACTCCATCATACAATTTCCGAACCTGCCTGCCCATCGGATTCGCTTGCAACAAAGTCTACTTATTCTACCTACGGAAACAACAAAGTGTTTGATTATTTGACTTTCCGGAGAGCATCATCACTCACATCAGAAGAGAAACCCAACGCCCGCGCTCGTCTATCGCCAGACACCTCGAACCATAGTAGTCATGGTGTCAGTAGACCGTCAGCGCATCATCGAGACCAACCGGTCTCTGCGTCTCATTAAAAATGTAAGGAAATATCGCTAAATGGGCGGGCAGACTGTCCTTCCCCAACCCATCTCTCCCTTACCTTCAGTTTGGTAGTAATCCAGCCCATCCACTAACACCCCGCCCTGCCCAAAACAGGAACTAGAATCCCTCCTCGAGAAGGGCATCATAACAGACGACGCCTTTGACAGCATCACCTCCCTCCTCCCCGCTGAAGCCAGTCTTTCCAGCACATCCTCCACCCCCGTCCCAGCCCCGCGTGCTGCTCCCGCACACGCCGTCGCTGCTGCTCCAGCCGCCCAACCTCATGCTACCACCACCGGCGGCGGCGTCAGCTCCATCGCCGCGCGCTTCCAACAGAACCCTCCTCCAGCCGTCACCTCCGCCGCCAATGCCTTCTCCAACCTCTCGCTAAACAACAACAATAACAATAACCCTTCCCCAGCCCCAACTCCGGCCGCGGCACCCCCTTCATATTCCCAATCAACCAACAACACCACCGTACCCCCCTTGCCAGGCCGCTCCCAACCACCAACACCCGCCGTAGCACCCCCCACAAAGCCGGTCATAGCTCACTGCAAAGCCCTGTACAAATACGACGCCTCCGACGCGCGCGACTGCTCCTTCGACAAAGGCGACAAGATCCAAGTCTACGAGTACATGAATGCCGACTGGTGGATGGGGCGGTGCGTCCGTACAGGGCAGGAGGGTATCTTTCCCAAGAGTTATGTGGAGGTGGAGGCGGCGCCTGTGCAGAGTACGAATGCGTGGGAGGGTCCACACAACGAGAAGGCTGGAGGATATCCGGGAGCTGGGGGTTACGGGGCGGGTGGTCCTGGGTATGGACAGCCGGCGGGTATGTACGGCGGGGGAGGATATGTGGCGCCCCCTCCGGGACCACCGCCGGCTGGACAGGGACAGGTCTATGATCCTAACGCTCCACCGCAGGGGGAGAAGGAAGAGAACAAGTTTGAGAAGCATGGGAAGAGTATTGGAAAGAAGTTTGGTAATGCAGCGGTCTTTGGAGCGGGTGCTACGATGGGTGCCAATTTGGTTAATTCCATCTTCTAAGAAGTGGATAGGGCAGAGGTTGGAGGTGGTAAGACCAGGACTGCTAGTGAAGGGTACGAAGAGTTATCACGGCATTCCATTCACCTTTTCTTTATTTATATTCATGTTCATATGTGTGAGGTGTAGAGCGAGAAGGATCCGGTACTCTGCAGCTACTCGAGATACAAAAAAACACAACTGTTCATATCACATATTTCCAAACGACATTGCATGTCATACACACTCCCTCTCCTGTTACCAAATGAGAATGTTTCTACCCCTCACACCATCCCATTATTATTTACAGATCACCAGAGTGCGACTGACCGACATCCTCCCTATCCATATACGGCTCCAACCTAGCCATCAACTCCTCGACGCTCATCTCCCCAACCTCCTTCTCTTCTTCTTCCTTTTGTTCATCACCACCATTTTCCCTACGCGGCGGAATCAGCACGCTCGAAACAACATGAATGACGCCATCCGCCGCCGGTCCATCCAACACACTGGGGCGGTTAAATCCATTAACCACCATGGTCGCATGCCCCTTCCAATTCTTGATATCCACGCCCAGTCTCGCGTCCTCGCTCAACAGCGTAGCCAAGTCGTAGTGGGTCGGCGGCGGGCAACAGTTGTAGTCCGCATCCTGCTCATCATCATCATCATTATAGAAATCATCACCAGAGCCTGAGCCAGCCTTGTAGTAAGCATCCGTATACACCGTGTGCTCAGGAACAAAGTGATACTTGAGTATAGCCTTCAAGTACTTCTTTCCGGGCTCCGTGTTGAACAAGAAGGCATTCAGATGGGGGCCGAGACGGGCAAAGGCGCGGTTACTGGGGGCGAACAGGGTGAAGCCTTTTCCTTCCTTTTTGCCTCCGCCTTTTTGGTGCTTCTTATCATTATTGTCGTCGTCGTCTTTATCGTCGTCGCCCTCATCATCATGTCCATGTCCGTGCCCCAACTCCTCACCAAGCCCCGTCTTCTCCAGCGCAAGGGAGAAAGTGCTAAACAAGCTCGGCAAAAGAGACACCCCCTTGAGCGCGGGCGGAGGGGGGAACAAGATGCCGTCTACGGCGTGGATTATGCCGTTGGAGGCGTAAATGTTGGGCATGATGACGCGGTTGACAAAGTTGACGCGGATGCCGCCGTGGCCAAAGAAGGGGGGGCTGATGGAGAGGCGAAGACGTTGAGGGCGGTGGTCGAGGAGGGGAGAGTGAAGTTCGGTGGGGAGGGTGTGGAGCGAAGACAAGAGGAGGGGGGGAAGGTTAGGGTGTCGAAGAGGTCTTCTTCTTCTTCTTCTTCTTGGGAGTGATCGTGGTCATGGTGATCACGACGATGATGGTGAAAGATGGGTCGGGGATAAGGGAGGATGTGGTGTTGGAGAAGGTGGCGGACTACTTCCTCCGGGGGAGGATGGTCAGGGTGGTGAGGGAACCTTTCAAAGGCCTTGTCGGTGGGCACAAAGATGGTGTAGTGGTGCTTGTTGTTGCCGTCGGTATTGTTGAGCAGCTTTCTGATGTCGTCGTGCTCGTCGATGATCTTGACGAAGCGCTCGCTGTACTTGGACTCTTTGATCAGTTCGTAAATGGACTTGCTGGTGTCGCCCGGGGGGTGGTGACCGTGATGGCCATGGTCATGGTCTCGGTCACGGTCGTGATCGTGATGCTTGTGATCCTTGTAGAAAGCAGCTTCAAGCTCCTCGATGACGTGTTTCTCGATTAGAGAGGAGTAGAGGGAGGAAGCAGAGTCGTCCCAAGTGTCTTGGACTTTGGAGAGAACGTTATTTCCAAGACTGTCCTCGGCAATGGGTAGGAGTTGTTTTTCCTTGACTCCGAGGAAAGGCACGTATAGTGCAGCGGCTCCAGCCGCAAAGAGGGGGAGGAGTTGCTGCTTCATGATCACCAAGTCCCTGAACTTTGTTTGGAGAAGCAGACGAGGATAGAGATTCGAACTTTCAGTGACAAAGGAGACATGAAGAGAAAGAGAACTATTTATGTGAAGCTCTTCACACATAGAAATACCTACCATTGTGACTTACATGTACATTGAGTGTTTGTAAGCATGTTGGATGATGACGACGACGACTCAACAATGCAATGCCTCTTCTCCAATTGAACTGTTCCAACTGTTTCGGACTGTGCGTTTGAACTGTCTGCGGCGGCCATCATCCCAAATGTCTGCAACGAGTGCTTCAACCAAAGATCTGATGACAAGACGGCAGAAAGAGGGGTTAGCGAATGCCTCATTGGCTCAGTCAAGATCTCGGACCAGTCGGTGCTTTGTGCAACCATGATGCTGGCGTCATGTTGTTCGCTCTCTCCTAAGCACGGCCTTCATCCCATCGAGACAGTGTTCGTTATGGTCATGAACCGTCCTTGCCTTTGACGGGATGGCACCAAAGTAAAGATGAAGTCTCGCCGACCGTAGCCGCTTGCCAACCAGACTAAAAACAGAGCCTCCGGAACTATGGTCCCGGACACTGCCGTCATGCATTATGCTTCCCCCATCGCGGGAAGTCTGGGGAAGGTGGGATGTTCCCCGCAAGAAGATGACGGCGCCGCGGTATCGCCACTGACACTAGCGGAGGCCCCCACGAGGCTATCTATACCTAATCGACAGCTCTAATCGAAAGGGCTATAGCCTCCTCCACTGTTTCAGCAGCACGGATTCCTCCATATTCCCCAATGAGAACGCCAAAAAGTATTGGTACAAGAACGGTTTATGAATTGGAGAAAAGGCAGAAGCTGTCATCTCGGACCGAAAGCGAACTGCCAGGTCGCGGGCCTCTCCGAGTAGCCATCATCGGGCAACGCCCACAGGTATGCCCGGCCACGTTTTGCGGCCAGGAGGGCTGAGGCTCAGTCGCTTCCACGTCGACGTTCTAGATAATGAGCATATGCAACCCAACATCTGCCTGTGTGCACTATGAACGATATAGGAACCAAACGGATTGAGATCCGAAATCCACCTCTCTTGCTGAAATCGGATACATATTGAGGTCGCCCTTGTTGATCTTGGCAGCCCAGCATTGTTCAGACAGAGGAGGCATCTGCTCGGCAAGCTGTGCCACCTGCGTACACTATGTACAGCTAGCTCACCGTGGCATCGTGGCACCGCTCTCATTGGATCGGTTGAGCTGGCCACAGAAGTGTAGACCGCGAGGGGGATGCCGGCTGTCGATTCGCTACCAAGCTCCGACTTTCCCCTCTCTCTCATCATCTCAGTCTTTCATCATCTCAGTCTGACAAGCGGGGTTGGGCTTGGAGTCTTAGATGCCTGGAATCCTTTTAGGGCTGATGGGTTTTCTCTCTATTGTCCGTCCCTGGGTAAGTTGATAATAGAGACGGACCAACAGATAATTCCCTGAGGGGGAGTGATGAAAGACATGTCCAGCCCCTGAACTGAAGTGAACATGAATGATATTGGCGTTCACGAGCAACATGGGTACAATGCCCTGGGGTCCACTGGGACAACTGAACAATCGCAGGGTTGGCCTGGTAGGGACTTGGGAGCAGAGAGAGAGAAGTGGAAGATTGTGAATTTGTGAAATGTGAAGAGACTCCAGCAGACAAGGGAAAGTGCAAGAAGAAGACAGGGAGCAAGCAAGCAAGCACAGCCAGCACAGCCAGCACAGCCAGCACAGCCATCATGATCTTTTCACTGGCCGCTCACAGTAGAGCCCGGTAGTTACCTGCCCGCCTATGAGGTAACAACGAAGCCAGCTGTCGCCCGCTGTTTTCGGGTCCTCCCACTCTTTCCGCTCCACCGTTACGACGATACCTAGATTTTAACATTGTTCAACCCATTCATGGCGCTGAGCTGTTAGTGAGCTAGCGTGGTCCCCTGTCTCGCCTACCCAGGCCGTTGAGGAGGTGGAGCAATGAACCCCCGCCTGGACCCTCCCGCCCATGCTTCTTCCATTCTCGAAGACTGGATCGCGCCGGGGTCCAGCTTTCTTGTCCCGCCGGGTTTCCTCGTCGTCCCGATGGGCGGTGGACAAATTGTTTCTTCCCCAGTGCCCGCCGCCTCGCTCGACTTCCCACCAGCAAGGAAAGAACTCAACCAGACGGAATGAGTCTAGGCTTGACTTCTACCACTTGCTGATGAGGCTGAACCGTCGCAATCTAATTGTAGGGCTCCAGCTTACCGACTGGATAGTCTCCTTCTTGCTTTTCAACGACCTTTTCTACTTGTGTCATCTAATAATCCGGTCGGTCGAGCATCGTGACCTACACTACCGCATCACATCGATCTCTTACTGTCGACCAATAATCAATCTCATCGGTTCGACTTACTCAGCCCACCAGATCTATCACTATTGAAGCTATTCCGTCATCAATTTCTGAATAAAAGGAGAATCGCGCGTGGTGGTCCTGTCGGGTTGTCCGTGGAGCTGGAGCTAGCGCCAGATTTCCCGTCCGCAGGTCTCTCAATTGGGTCAGGCACAGCCTCGGTGCAGTGCTGTGGTGGATTTGCGACAAACCACCGCCAAACAACATCTCTTGCGATTAACCTTGCAATTTGGATCACATCGAGACAACTTCTACGGTAGCTAGCAATTCGGGCGCCCTCACATTTCGGACTGCGGCGAATCGCACTGGATCCCGATTCTCTGGTTTACGAAATCGACAGTCAGCCTTCCCAACAGCCCAGATTGTCACTTGAGTACCATTTCAGAGGACAACGCCAATATGGCAGCGTCCCTGTCTGCGCGGGCCGTGCTCACCCCGCGCGGCAGCTCACTCTCTGGAGGAGCCATCGCCGGGGCGGTGGTCGGCTCCTGCATTGGGTTTTTCCTGATTCTCCTATGTCTGTTTCCTTTTGTTGTGCGTGCGCGGAGACGCCGGGCCGAGAAGCATGGTGATATCGGCCATGCGGAGAAGGGGCAGGCCCCCGGAGGCCCCATTTTCCACAACAGCGCCGGGAGTACGCCCAAGCGGCTCTCCGGGGAAGGGGAAGGCTATGCTCCGGACACCCCGCCGCCTGGCCTTGCATCACCGGCCACCTTCATCCCGGGGGACGGTCACCACCCCGATCAGAGGGCGGCCTCCCATCACCAGTCCCGACACACCCCTGCCCTCCCACGGGGCGTAGGTATACAACAAGGGCTGCCGTCCTCCATATCGCCGCCCTTTCAACCACCTTCACCAACCACATCAGCCACAGCGAGCCTTCAAGGAGACCAACCTGGCCCCGATTCGACAAGAACAAGAGTGGCATCGATAGCGACCACTGAAGCCGAGAGCAACCGCGAACTGAGCCTTGACGACTCCCACGGCTTAAGCCCTCCCACTCACCAAATACCACCTGCCGTTTCACCTGGAGGCATCACTGAGGAGCCGGAAACCTTTGGACGCCCCACTCAACGTCATTCCTTCCCTCATCTCCCCGAGTCCATCAGGAACTTCATCTACAGGCGTCAGTCAGGTAACAGCCGGAGGGATAGCAAGCGATCAACCCTTGGAGGCACCGCTGGAACACGGTCGCCTTCGCCCCTCACCACGACCGACTACCCGGTTCCAACACATCAACCTGAACCTGTCCCACCAGTCTTCGAGGTTGACACTGAGGCGCCAGGAGCTGCCTACGAATACTACCACGGTCACCCATATTTAAGCAGCACCAGCCAACCTTATCCCGACGACTCTTCTGCACCTCCACCACCGCAACCTACCACTCTGCCCACCACTCTCCTCCGTCAAGACACACTTCTTGCCTCGTGGGAAATCCAGCAAGGCATCAACCGCACCGACAGTTTACCACCTACTACCATTGTCTCTGACCTCCCAAGTCCTTGTGTGGATCTGACTGTTGGGCCAACCGCCAGTCCTATGGAAATGATGAGGCCTACCAACCAAGCCGAGAGCGCCTGGGCTGTAAACCAGGAGATTATCAAGTTGGAGAACACCCCGCCCGCTCCTGCAGTCAGTGCCTTCTCCCCCCAGACTATTCCGGCCGAGTTCGCCTATTCCCAGCAGATGCAAAGCCCCCAGGAACAGTACGGCCCGGAGCCACAGTATAGCGAGTACACGCATGTACCAGAAATTCAGCAAAACGGCCAGGACTTTGATCTTGACTCGGTTACCTTGTACCCCAACGACGGTTTTGGTCTACATGACATGTCCGATGTCTCTACTCCTCCGCCATTGTCCGAGTCCTCAAGGCAGAACACGCCCAGCACGCGGCTCACATACTCGCCATCGCCCAGGCCAGACTTTGACCAGAACACCAACTTTGCGCCGCTCATGGTTCCCAACTCCCCAGCCAATTTTTCTTCTTCTACCGGAGGCTTCTCATCAAACCAGGGCATGTCACCCGGCGCATTGTCGGTCAATGACTATTCCTCGTCACAGGGAATGTCACCAGGAGGATTGTCGGTCAACGACTTTGGAGCCCAAGTGATGTACCCCCAAGGTCTATCCCTTTCGAGCATCCCTCAGTCCGGCATGTCCCCAACAACACCATCATCCAGCGGCGCTTCACCTAGAGTGTTCGCTTGCGACCAATGCCACCGTGAATTCGACCAAATTCACAAGCTGAAGTGAGCACCTGCGCCTCCTCATCCTATCTTTCTACATATACAGATCACTAACAGACCTATAGCCATCACAAACGCTACCACGAACGCCCACACGAGTGTACCCACCCTGGCTGCACCATGCGGTTCGGCACCAAGACCCATCTGGACCGCCACATTAACGACAAGCACAAAAAGACTCGCCAGTTCCACTGCACGGTGCCCGAGTGTCCCTGGTCAAGACAGGGTGGCCGCTCGTTCCCCAGGAAGGACAACTGGAGGAGGCACATGATCAACAAGCACCAAATCACGCCTTTGCAAGAGCCAATTGAGTATAACGATGTGGCCATGGGCGACGCATGATGGCCGATGGTCTAGTCTACGGTACTCGATAGAAGGACGCAGTGTACGATGGGTCTGCTTGGGTGGCATGCTCTTGCTCTTGATGAGCGAGCTGGATTAATGTGCTGAAGTGATAGAAAACGCCAGGCAAGCGTTTGATAAGGGGCCTTGATGGTCGTTATGAGTGCGCCAAAGAAGATCGGGGGACTGTGATACCCACCTGAGTTCGGGCATTGTATGCCTTTTTCTTTTTGTTTTCTACCAGCATTTTGGATGATGATGATGAATGGTCTGGACATTAGATCTTAAGTACAGACTTGCCTTTTTCTCTTTTTTTCTTTTTCATTGTGGAAAGCGAGAAACGCCATTTATAGTATATAATGCATCTATATGGAGCGCGTGGCTTTGGCGTTTGTCTTTAATACGTTACCAAAAGCCATTGGGCATCATCTATAACCCATATAACCATGGACTTTGGTCTTTTCAACTGGAGATCTGTATCTCTTGGACTTCCTTTCTTCACTCGTGAATGCCACTCTGCAATCCACTGAAACCCTTGGCTCGTAGCCTATGAATCTCTACCGCTCACGGGGGTTCGTCGCTTCCTCGGGGGTATCAAACTTTGCTGGGGGAAGAATCTCTGGACTCAAACCCGCTTTTGCTGATGGCTGAAAATCACTTCTGGCTGGAAGAGAGACTCGGCCATGCCACTCTCGCAGAGTCTTGGCATCAGAGATTTGCCACCTCCTGCCTCTTGCGAAAAAGTTCCTTCGCAGCGCTCCCAGGCCAGGCACACAGCCGCTGCTGGCCATGCTCTTCCTTCTTCTCATCACGATCATTGTTCCCTTGGACCCATTTCACCTTGATTCCTCAACGCATCTCCCTAACCAACTTCTTCACCAGCTTCCTCTGCGCCTCCACCCCCAGTCCCTTTTCATCCGTCTCCCTCAACGCCCTTCCCACCACCACCACCGTCTTGACACTCTCACTACCCACCCACACCTTCCCGTTCCTCCCCACCGCCGTCTCAAACGCCAATCCCTCCTCGCCCAGCGCCTCCAGAACCTCCACTTTCCCCTCCTCCCTACTTTTCGCCATCAACAACCTCCTCGCAAACCCAAGACTGACATCAAACACCATGCCGTCCTTCAAGGGGCCCAGCCCATCCGCTTTGCCGGTAGAAGAGTTGACGCATTCCAGCTCGGGGTCCATGTGCCGGTTGGCCAGAGACACACGGGCGTAGACGAGCTCGCCAGACGCCAGTTGGGGACGGGTTTTCTTGGTGGCTGACTCGAAGGCGAGGTGCGGGAGTGTGGCGTTGGGGGTATAGGGCGAGAGGGAGACGTAGTAGAAGTCGGTGGCGGAGCGGGCGATTTGGCCGATGATGAGGTCGCCTTGGGAGGGTATGTACTATATACAATTTTTTTTTTTGTAAAGTTAGCTTAATAAGGTGAAAAGGGAAGTAACGGAAGGGAGGAGACCTAAGAGGGAGGGAGGAAGGAGTAGGGAAAGGGAAGAAGAGATATATGGGGTGGTGGTGAATACGTACGCGACCGCCATTGTATTCTATCCACATGGAAGTTTTGCGATGGTCGACTACTAGCTGGCCGGCTACCGTGGGGACGATTTCGCTAGGAGGGATGTGTCGCAACCCGGGACCGAGACGGAGAGGGTTCTTCTTGTGGGTGGGGATGAGGGAAGGGTCGATGGTCTCGCCCGGGAGGACGACGAGGGGCGATTCTGTTGACATGGTGATGCTGTAAATTTTGTGGTGTGTTGTGTGTGGTGGTGGTTTGTTTGGTTTGGAATTCGAGGTTCGATTTGCGGAAAGCTGTATTAAAAAGGTACATGTGCTGTCGCGGTTCTGTAGTGTAAGTTTACTTTGGGAAAGTTGCGAAGGCGAGGCCAGCCCCAAGCCTTGAATGGTGGGGCAGCTGGCTGGGCTAGTTTGGGGAGTACAATAAGGGTACTTGAAGAGCTGTGTTGGGAGTCGACCTTGACCGTCGATTTTACATATTGGAATCACTGGACCGGAAACTGTAGTATATCCAAGAGATACAGACATCGATACAACAGTACTTAAATCAGAAGTGTCTCCAAACCTTGTCGACGACAGCATATGTAAACAAACAGCGAGTACACCAATGGTGCCCATCACAAGTGACGATGTGGGGCCAGCACGCATCCCGTATCGATTAGCGTCCGCCTTCCAAAAATTTCTGAGCCCCCACACGCTGGACGACATTATCGTCCGTCGTTCGTGGTCTGGTTCCTGTCCTGCCTTGTCGATAGTAGCAGTGCTTTTTCGTTGACTTTTGCGCTTTCTTCCCTTCCTACCTCCATCCTCTAGCTCTGTCTGTTAGTTTGATTCTTTCCGCTTCAACCCACACCCTCACACCCTCCGCAAAAATGAGCGAGTCCAAGGTCAGCGTTGCGCCCAGCGAGCGCACCGTCATCGGTATCACCTTTGGCAACTCCAACAGCTCCATCGCCTGCACTGTCGACGATAAGGCTGAGGTTATCGCCAACGAGGATGGCGGTACGTGCCATACATACCCTTTCTTTTCCCCATGCAACCGCTCCTAACAAACTCTCGTCGTACAGACCGCCAGATCCCCACCATCCTGTCCTACGTTGACGGCGACGAGTACTACGGCCAGCAGGCCAAGGCCTTCCTCGTCAGGAACCCCAAGAACACCGTCGCCTACTTCAAGGACTTCCTCGGCAAGGACTTCGCGGCCGTCGACCCTACCCACAACCACGCCTCTGCCCACCCTGAGGATGCCGATGGCACCGTTGCCTTTACCGTCCAGGAGAAGGAGGAGGGCGAGGCTTCCAAGCTCTCTGTCTCCGAGGTCTCTACCCGCTACCTTCGCCGCCTGATCGAAGCCGCCTCCGAGTATCTTGGCAAGAAGGTCACCTCTGCCGTCATGACCGTCCCCACCAACTTCTCCGACAAGCAGAAGGAGGCCCTTCTCGCTGCCGCCGCCGCCGCCAACCTCGAGGTTCTCCAGCTCATCAACGAGCCCGTTGCCGCTGCTCTCGCCTACGATGCCCGCGCCGAGACCGAGGTCCAGGACAAGATCGTTGTTGTTGCTGACCTTGGTGGCACCCGCTCCGATGTTGCCGTTGTCGCCAGCCGCAGCGGCATGTACACTATCCTCGCCACCGTCCACGACTACGACTTCCACGGCACTGCCCTCGACAAGGTTCTCATTGACCACTTCTCCAAGGAGTTCATCAAGAAGCACCAGGTCGACCCCCGCGAGAACGCCCGCTCCCTCGCCAAGCTCAAGGCTGAAGCCGAGTCCACCAAGAAGGCCCTTAGCTTGAGCACCAATGCCAGCTTCAGCGTCGAGTCCCTCGCCAACGGCATCGACTTCACCAGCTCCATCAACCGCCTCCGCTACGAGACCATTGCCCGCTCCGTCTTCGAGGGCTTCACCCGTCTCGTCGATTCCGCCGTCAAGAAGGCTGGTCTCGATGCTCTCGACATTGACGAGGTCATCCTGTCTGGCGGTACCTCCCACACTCCCCGCATCGCCGCCAACCTCGGCTACCTCTTCCCCCAGACCACCAAGATCCTTGCCCCCTCCACCACCCCCGCCGCCATCAACCCCTCCGAGCTTAACGCCCGCGGTGCCGCTCTTCAGGCCAGCTTGATCCAGGAGTACGAGGCCGAGGACATCGACCAGTCCACCCACGCCGCCGTCACCACCGTCCCTCACATCACCAACGCTATTGGTGTCATCTCCCTCAACGAGGCCGGTGAGGAGGTCTTCGTCCCCGTCGTCGCCCCCGAGACCGCCGTCCCCGCCAGGAGGACAATCCACGTTGCCGCCCCCAAGGATGGCGGCGATGTTCTCGTCAAGATTGCCGAGGGCAACACCCACATCAAGGTCACCAAGCCCGAACCCAAGGTCAAGGACGAGTCCAAGGCCGCCAAGGTCGAGGATGCTGATGAGGAGGGTGACGACTCTGACTTCTCTGACGAGGAGGAGGAGGAAGAGGAGAAGCGCGAGAAGGTATGGAAGATCGGCTCCACCCTTGCCGAAGCCGCCGTCCGCGGTGTCAAGAAGGGCGGCAAGGTCGAGGTCACCATCCTCGTTGATGCTAACCTTTCGGTCACCGTAACGACCAGGGAGGTTGGTGCCAAGACTGGTGTCCGTGGTACTTTGAGCGCTTAAGCCAATGAGTTTTAATTAGAATACAGTGGAGAGTTTTCTTGTAAAAGGGTTGAAGTGTTGAAAGTTATTATACCTGTGTGTGTGTGTGGAGAAAGCACCTCGGCATTGTGTGGTGGGATAACAGGATTTTTTTTTATGTGCAAAAAGGAACCCAACTACTGGTATTTACTGGGCAACTTAAAATAGAGGCGAAATGATGAATTTGATGACCCTATTAGACAATACATACAGGAAGCGAAGCAAGCAAGGGATGATTTTCAGGAATCTAATCTATGAATGCGACTTTTGTGATGCTGAGCTAGACTAGAGGGACGTCCTTTACAGTTTCATACATACCCAGTTGGGAAGACGGGCAACGCTGACATTTTCCACATCATTTTTGATCAAAGACATATATATATACAAGTGCTTGTTGGCATGTGTAATATCAATCTCCCTTTCCTGTTACATAGCTAAATAGATACTAAACAATAAACAAAAAAACGGTAAATCTCGCAATGGGTATATCCTCCACCAGTCCGCACATCCTAAGTCGTCGATTTTTGATTTTTTTTTTGTTTTATCTTCCCCGTCCTAGATAGATACCCGAAAATCCAAATCCTCCTCCACTAACTTCCTTTCTCCTCCTTCTCGATATATTTCCCTCGGTCCCTTGGTCCCGGAAACCCTTCCCGCCTGTCTTTGTCCTCCTTTTTTTTTTTCCAGCCCCAGCTTTCCACCTACGTAACGTTTGTAGATCCTCCTCCCTACGGACAAAGAAAGAGAAATGGGTCGGAGAATGCTTCCCGTGTGGCCATACAAGAAAAGATTTGAAAAAAAAAAGAGAGAAAGGGGTATAGAAAATCGTCAACTTCGTAGCAAGGAAAAGTGATTTGAATAGATGGTATGGGAAAGATGGTTCACTGGTAAAGGAGATGATGGGTACTGTGTATGATGTGGACGTCTTACGCTCCGTGATGTTATGCAGAATGCTGACTGCTGCCGAGAGAGATGATGATGATAATGATGATAAATGGGACATATGAGAGAGTTGAGTGATGCTGAATGATTTTTCTGACAGTCTGCCGCTTGATGGATGGTTGGGTTGGCGGTGGTAGTATTGATAAGGGTAATCGTTGTAAATTGTAACTAAGCTTGTTGAATCGTAGGGGTATCGTATTTGGTACGTATGTGCAAGTGCAATAATGAGAAGCAAAAAAAGGGAGATTGTCCGCTTAAGCATCAACGCATAGTACGTGGTGATACCGGTGGTGATTCTTCCCCCGAAGCCACCAGCCGGGTCCGCGACCTGTACCTGCGAAGCTCAGCTTCGAACCGAGCTTGTGTCGGGGTCACAACCGGCGTCACCGTCTTAGGTGTTGAGGGTAATTCGATCTCGGTGGTCTTAATGTTGTTGTTGTTGCTGAGAGGCCAGTCAACGAGCCTCTCTTCCGCCTCCTCCTTCACTTCAGCTTCAGCCTCGAGTCGTGCAAGCTCAATGACTTCTTGGTCTTGCAGATGAGCGGCAGCTGTCGTCTCCTCTTCTTCGCTCTCAGTTTCCGTGTCGCTCTCAGTCGCAGTCGCAGCAGGCCACTGCGGCACAGCCACAGAAGCGTACCGCATCCCAGTCTTCTTCTCCTGCTCTACCCTCAAAATCTCCACGCTAAGCAGCCATCTCTTCTGCAGCTTGACCTTCCTCTGGGTAAATGTGCGGGAGACGGCATCTGCCTCATTAGCGAACTCGACGGCGAGGTCCTCGAGTTCTTCGGATTTCTTGTGGAGAAGGGCTTCCATCTCGTCTTCGTGGCGGTCGAGTAACTGCTCCATCTTTTTGCCTTGCTTCTCGCGAAGCACGTTGATCTGGGCTTGGTGCCGTCTCTCCATGCCGTCGCGGATGCGGTATTGCTCGCTGAGCTGGTCGAGGTGTTTTTGGGTGACCTCCCTGGAAGGCATCTTCGAGTCCTGGAGGGCTTGGTCCTTCTCGCTTACTTCCTCAACTTGCGAAAGCGTCTTGCAGTAGGCTTCCATGTGCTTGAGCTGTATCTTGATGCTCCGTTCCGAAGCGTCCAGCGACGAGCGGAGTTCCATCTCGGCCTCGATCTGCCGGTCCTCGAGGTGCTGCTCTGTTTTCGCATGGCGCTCCTTCATTTTCTCTGTGAGCTCCGCGTACTTCTCCAGTAGCGCCTTCTTCTTCTCCGACTGCCTTGTCCGCATGTCTTTGCGCATCCTAGCCTCGTATGCCAAAACCCTGGACATTTCATGGTTTTGCTGTTCCCTTAGCGCCTGAAACTCTACACTTTCTCGCGTCCTCCGTTCCGCTGCTTGTTGCGCCCGTCCCTCCGCCACAGCCGCCTCTTCTTGCTCCCGCTTCTTCAGTTCCAGCTCCGCGAGGCGCGTCTCTTCCTCCCTCCTGCGCCGCTCGAGCTCTTCCTCGCCGTTGCAAAAGTTGGGACACCCAACAACAGGATCCCATACGGCACCGCAAATGTAGCAGAACTGCGCCTTGCACCGGCATGTCATGTGCGTGCACCCCTGCGTGAGCTCAACCAGGTTGCGGCACTTGTAGCATCTACGCCACCCGGATTTCTCGCCCATCTTTAGCACCGTCTCCAGCTCAATGTCCTCGGGACAATCCTGCCCGAGCCGATGGGCGCTGCGCTTGCAAGTTAGACAGACGCGCATCTTGCACGTCTTGCACATGGTCTCGAAGGGGTGCTTGGGGTCGAGCTTGGCTCTAGGCGGGATAAACTCGCCGCAGGCCGGGTTTGGGCAGAAGATGCGGGATTCCCAGGGCGTACTGTATTGGAGGACGGCCTTGAGGAAGGCCTGCTGCTCCTCGCGGGTGAGGATCGTCTTGATGATGGAGCTGGGAATGGGCTGGGTGCAGCAGCGGGGAGGCATCTTGGACTCGTCGGTGGTGGATTGGTTGATCATGACGGCCAGACAGTTCTGGCAGTAGGTGTGGCCGCATGTTAGCGTCTGGAGGAGGTGGTTCTCTTGGGCAAATTCCTCGCGGCAGCATATGCAGATCCTAGGAAACGGAACGACTCATTAGATGCCTCGTTCCAATATGGCTCATGATGCCCAGAGTATCTGGGTGGGGCTGGTGGTCCAGCAAAGTCACTTACACGATTGATAACGCCGGATACGTTTTCCTCCTCTTCAACCTGCCTGTGAGGCCGCGCCGGAGCTCCCTGACGCCCTTGAAGTGCCCAAAGCCAAAGATGTTGTGCGACGGCCGCCTTGTGGGCGCTGCTGGGTTGGAAAACTTTGGTTGGTGAAGCGCGGGTTTCAGCTGCGTCAAGTACTTCTCATACTGGGAAAAGTTGACGGTGTTGGACCTCTTCCTGCTCGTGGATTGTGTGAGAGTTGCAGGCATTGCTGCCGACGAGTTCGAAGCCATATCATTATCGGTGCCTGTGGCCGTTTCGGTGCCGGTGGTACTGTCGTTCGAGCATATTGTGTTGGAGCGCTGGTGGGCAACGAGAGTGCTGCTTTTCGCTGATGTGGCGTTCAAGGCAGTGGGATTCCCCAGGCTGTCAGTGAGGTTCGAGACATCGATTCCCAGACTCGAAGCCTTTGTCGTCAAGCTCTCCTCGATTTCGGCCTCAGTGGCGGTGGCATCTTCAGTCGTTATCCCGAAAACCTCACGGAGGTACTCGGACTCGTCTAGTTTGGGCGAGTTGGCGACGGTGCCGACCAGATGGGCCGACGACAAGGATACTGAGGTGAATTCAGCCATTTTCCTTCACGAATCACTTGACAATTCTCCATCTACTTCCGCCCCTGTTAACACAGCAGATGTCTGGGGTAACAGCGAATGGTTACCAAGACAGTCGAAAGGCATATGGCGGCGGCAGGAAAGAAGACTGGAGTGGTAGCTATGTGAAGCGGGAGTTTTGGGAATTGGATGAAATATGTATTAAAGACGCGGTCCAATCTATCAGAAGAGGAATTCCCATGACGCAAAAACTACCTCTATGGGCAAGGGTGGGGTTCATGCATCCGGAGGAGTTTAGGTCGTGGTAGTGTCAGTTGAATGTCGATCCAAAGGGCTGGCCGGATGCCCAGGGCTTTGCGGCCGCCGTCGTTACGTGAGCTGACCAAATCAACAGCGCTATCACTCGGCTACCAATATGTGAGGTGTTCACTGATGTACGGCGTTCCGAATAACCAGGGCTGAGAGTGGTTGCCGAAAAATGCCCGGAGCCCTGGGGAGTGGTGAGATGTAGTGTAGCGTGTTGGCAAGGGAAGGCAAGGGACAATGAAAAGAGTAAGATGACGGGAGGAGTAAGCTCGGATAAAGTTGGGAGATGTGGTGGAGGGGTTCAAGGGGGAGAGAGATGGAGTGCTTGGTCGGCGGCAACGGAGAGCAAGAGATTTGAGATGGAGGGATCACACGAAAAGCCGCAGAAAGATCGCCAGCTAAAGCAAGTGATGTGCAGTAGACCAGACGAGGGTTGCAGTTTGGCGCCCAAATATACACCACCTTAGCAGTACATGATAATATTGTACATTACATATCAAGGGCACGCATCAAGGTCACTAGACCATCACTGCTTGTGCCAATAGCTGTGAGCAGGTTGTCTCTATCGCCAGCTGAGTTGCTTCACAGCTGGATGAAAAGAAACACAATGTCTAGGTATCATGCCCATCAAGAGAAGGGATGTTAGCACAACTTGGTGACGGGGTCCTCAATGCCGTAGGTTGTTGATGTTGGGGGGAAACAACGCGGGGACAGTGGACGCCGCACGGTTGGTGCGTTTAACGTTACTTACCTACCTAGGTGGCGCTGGCTGGCCAAGAAACGGGCAAGGGTGTAGGTACCTATGTGATGCGCCTGGGCTGCGTGAATCCCCGGGCCCCGAGGGGTGGGAGCCAGTGACTGCCTCGGGAAACTGGGTGGGGGCCCTGGGGTTGGTAGGTACGAATCAGGCAAGTGGAAGTAACAAATCCAACAACTTGAACGCCTGACTGGCAGCAGGGGAGGCCAAGATGGGAACTGTACTACAATGTACGAGGAACTGAAGTCCGCCTCTCTGTGTTCGTATGACAGCTATGGTATACTACATGTAGTAGAAAGACAGCCAACCTCACCAACTGAACGCCAAAAGAGCCTCAGCCCAACGACACGAGTTTCCTCCCACCACACAAGCAACCAAAGGGGAACAGATTCGGGACCGAACACTAACTTCGATTGGTCTTTGATGATGGAAGAAATGCCCCGTCAAAAGCTTGCTGATTCCGAAAAACTTGATCTTCTGCCCGCAGCTCCTTGGAAGAAGAGCCATTGAGCTAGCCAAGTGGGAAAAAAAAGGCCTTTTGAAGACCGACTTTCCAAACAAGAGGTGAAGGAAACGGTGGCATCTTGGAATCTCAAAACCCTTCATGCAAATCTGCAAAGTGGAGGTTGTTGAGGCTTTCTTGGCAAGTTCGGCCATTTGAAGTATCGTCATCATTGTCAACATACGACCAGGACCGCTGTCAATGTCTTACTCTTGCCTTTTCCCCATTCTCCGTAGCGCCAGGTACCACAGCGCTATGTATCTTATACCCGCACATCTTCCGGCCTTCAATCTTGCCATCTTAGCTTCCTACGCTTTCATACAGCGGAGGTCGTTGTCGCCGTCACGGCCGACGATAGTGCAGGCCCACTACTTATCCTACCTAGTCTAAGTAATTGAGATCGATTTTGTTCCAACATCACACCCTTCATCGTCCGCTCGCACCGAATTTCGTCCGTCGCACCATCGGTTGACGCCCGTCATCTCACACCTCCACCGTCAAGGGCCATCAGCTCCACTAGTCCTCATCACACGACAGCGCGCGCGCTCGCACGACAGATAATAGTGGTTTCGACTTTCGAACGCGACTCAAGTAGCGGCTCATCCCACTTTGGTGAGAGTCTTGTGATAGAATCATAGGATAGGTAGGTATACACAAATGGTCACACCAAGTGGGCTTCTTCTATGCTAAAAGGAGGGTAGAGAGGACAAAAGTCTGAGCGAGTCCTTTCTGCATTTCCACCTCAAGGTGAATATGAGCCATCGTTTTTCACATTCGCGGTATCCTCGCCGAACTCACCGTCGGTATTGTTCCTCTTTTCCCTTGCTCACCTATTTGTAGTACGCGTGTAAAGTAGAGCTTCAACCCCAAAACTGTATACTGTACGAGCTGTGGCAGCCAGCCAGCCAGTTCGTAATCGTAGAAATCACTAACAACAACGACCGCCAACAGAAATAACTGATTATGACCCCTCCCTCTTCCCGTTTTTTACTAACAGATTGGTAAAACAACCAAGACTGAGGACAACAATTCCAAATTTCCTTTTGAAAAGCTTTTCCGCTTTGGTAGTGCAGTAGACCAACAAGCACTGCACTAGTGTAGTAAGCAACAGCTGAAAGGCAGACAGACAGACAGCCAGCCAGCCAGCTTTCGGTCTAGTGTACTTTGATACGACATGCATTCAGCTTTCTTACATATATTGTTGTTGCTGAAGATCATCCACCCCAATTCGTTCAGCCAAACGAGCGGCTGCATCCGTCGTTCCGACCTCCGTTCTTTTTTTTTTTTTTTTTTTTTTTTTTTTTTTTTTTTTTTTTTTTTTTTTTTCTTTTTTTTTTTCTCCCGGCTTTTGACTTTGCTTTTTACTGGGCTGTCTTCAACAACTCTTTTGTCTCTCATCAACCGAAGCGAGTAACCCATCCCCTTCCCGGTTGGTTGGGAAGCTTGCCCCGGGCTGTTATCAACAATGTTTCCATGGGCTAGTTGATTAAATAAGGTGAGACTGTCGGCATGGGGACACTTGGGCACTAAAACTCTCGCCAGCCGGCCAACAGCGCCGGGGTGTAGTGCATACCTAGGTAGGTAGGCTCTAGGTTTCCCCCAGAGACGGGCATCTCTTACAGTAGTGTAAAAGCCGAAAGGCTGCAGCAGCGGAATGGATGGGCCATGGATTGATTGTTGGGGCCTTGATGATGATGTCCATGTCCACTGTTTGGAGATCTTGGTTCCACCGACGACGATCTTACCGCTTTCTGCACCCCCGTGGACAAGGCCTAACGAAAAAGGAAACTTAGACTAACAGACTTTTTGAAATTGCCTTGAACATCTCGGCTTATGTACACACACACACACAGACTTTGCATCGTGGCCGGCCCGGATTTTGCTGGCTGATTACACTAAGTAAGATCCCGATAGGTTTACCATTCGGTAATCGTAGACAATGTGGATGTGCAGAGCATACTGAGACTAACGAGTTACGACTTTCGGAGGGGAACTGCGTGATTGTCTAGGCGATGTCACGGTTAATCGTACATGTGTCGTGATCGTGGGAGACTGGCCAGAACTTGACTTTGCCTGTCTTTTGTGGTTCAATAAATTTTTTTTTCCCGCGATGACTGTTATGCTGAGAGAGTTCGCTATGTTAAGTCTCGGAACCCAGACGGTCCTTATCAGAGGCGGGAAAGTAAAGCTGTGTAATTCTAAGCGGCGTAGCGTCGGTCATCAGGCTTGTGGCATCGGAAGCTTTCAATGACATGGACGCTTGTTAGACATACGTGAATACCACTGTGAAAAAAGCTCGCCGTCGACCGGTTATTTTAGCCCAATTCCCCGAAGCTTCGGTATCTGAACAGCCAAGACAGGGTTTAAGCAAACTACAGAGTATTCCCATTCTTCAACAAATCTTCATCACCTTCACTTTTCTTCTTTGAGACCTCATTTCGGTGAGTTTTCACGGCTTGCAGCCCGCCCACTATCGACATCGACAGCCGCGTCCATTAACAGGTATCTTCATCAATGCCACATCTCTTATCATGTAGTATCATCTCATCTCAACATCTCACAATGTTTTCACACCAGCTCCCACCTAGCCAGCCAGCCTACATTCTCCCCGGCATTCCTCACAATACAGAGCCTTCCCTCTTTGGTGCCCGACTCTTTGACCATATCAAACGCCTTCTCGGCAGAGATTGCCCCAACCGCCGTACCCTTGCCCCCGCTAAGGCTGTACGCCCCGGCCGTCACGAACCCGATCAGGTCCTCCTCGCCGGGGCACAGCGGATGGCCGCCGCCAATGTCTGTCTGATTAGCTGTAGGCCTGGGGTAGGGTAATGGATCCCCGGACACGAGAGACTTGGCCATCAATTGTTTTCGAGTACCCTGACCAACGTCGCGAGACATATGTGGTGCTGCGTGTGCTGTGATGGCTTTGGTAGACCTGCTGCCGCTTTTGTTGCCGGGGATTTTCTGAAGCCATTGATCGCGGAGATCCGCAGGTAGAGATCCCATGCCGGCCGCGACCGGATCAGTAGCGGGTACCTCCGTCTCCGACGACTGGACGGTCGTCGTTGCTGAAGGCCGAGATGGAAGACGATATATCCTGGCGCACGCGTTTGCAACGCCTCTGGTTACAAATGTGATGTTGACTGATATGATCGACCGTGGGGGAGGTCTGCCCGGATTTACCGAGGAGATAAGGGCCTGAAAATCTGTCTTCTTCATCTGCTCAACCATCGTCAAAGACGGCACTGTATTTTTGTGGACCTTCCCCAACTTGGCTGCGTCTTCAGCCTCTTCCCCAGGATGAAGGTCCATTGCATTTGGATCGACATCCGAGGTTAATTGATCCTCGGAGGAGCTCGGCGAAGGATCCGTGGGCAAACCAAACAGATGCTCAAAATCGCACGCCAAGCCATCTCCAATCTCGCCCTTTCGTCCAGCGCCGAGATCCAGCGAGGCCCATTCAATGCGCTTGCCCTTCGGTCGCCGATCCCAGGCCTTCTTGCGCTGCGCGCGCTGCTCCATCTCCCATACCACACCCGCATTCGTCCCAGGAAAATCCCCAGGAAACCAGGTAGTCCCTTGTTCAAAAGCAATCTGCCGCTGCTCATTCAACCCCCCTAGCCGAGGATTGCCTCCAGTGGATAAGGGATAATGGACAATGCTGTACCATATCGGCAGAATACATTTCCATGGTGCCAACAGTGTCCATGTCCCCTGTGCCTGACCACCAGCTGCCGGTCGGGAGGCGAACGCGATGACTGGTATAGGAGGGTCCGCTGCTGTGACTGGCATCTCTTGCCCTGGGATACTGGCGCCCTTTCGGCGATTGATGGACTTTTGTGGTGCAAGACTGGAAGCTTTGAAGCGAACATCACGGTCGAAGAGCCCATATGGCTTCACCTGTTCCTCAACAGGCCATTGCGTCAAAGTATCAAGCAGAGCAGAATCGCTCACCTTGCTGGTGGTGTCGACCCGCTTGGGAGGATACGACAATCGCGGGTCTTTGATTGAGAAGCCCAGTACTGCGTCTTTGGGAAGAGAAGCGGGATTTGTTACCCCAACTAGAGAGGAGAAAACCTGCCCATGGCGATCCTCGGTGTGATATGGTTTGAGCACAGCAAGCAACGTCTCTGTGGAACCGGGTCCGGTAAGCTCGATGCTACCGATTTCGAAACGCAAGTCCTCGATGTGAACTTGGGGCGTCTGCAGCTTTGCGAGCTTAACCAGCTCGTCGAAGAGTTCAAGGAAGCATGAGGGGTGTGTCCTGATTAAGATTTGTCGTTGAGTCTTCTTCAGCTCGGTAGTGTTTGACTCGGGCGCAGCGGTCTCGGCGGTCAGAGTGGGGTTCCATAGAATCGTAGCAGGCCCGATGTCCCTTCTTGAGTTCCTTTGCCGTCTGCTCACCATACCGCTCCATGTCCTCGTACCACTTCTCCATTTCCTGCCACGGTTGCCCCATAGACTCTCCTGAACCAGCCCTAGTGCCTTGAGAACCTGCTCAATGCCTCCCGCTGCTCCGTAGAGCCTGGCCGTGCTCATGTAACTTGTATCCCAGAAAACAGTTCCCTTTTGTCCAGAAGCTCGGTGGGTCGGTCGGTAGCATTTCTGCGTCGGGGTCAAAGGGATCGCGAATCGCCACAGAGGCTTGGTTGGCTCGGTCATTGTCGCTCGTTTGGCATGCCATAGATGGGTAGGGAGCCAGGTCTTGTTGATCTGTCTCTTTTTGAATTTGGACTTTGGCTTCGGGGGCTCGTTCAGGGTATCACGTCGTATCTTGGGTCTCGGGGCTCTCGTCTGGATTGTCGTCTTCCCGGGCTCGTCTTTATTCTCTCCCCCGGCTTCATTTTGCAACGCTCTTTTCCTCTTCCTTGCGGCCAGTTTCTCGAGTCGCTTTGCGTTTTCGGCCCGTATCCTGGCGCGTGTTGTGCGTGGCCGTCGTTTCCTCGCTTCGACGGTCGGTGTGTTGTCCTCCATCATCTCTCTTTTGGCTCTGTCGCGCAGCCTCTTGGGAACTCTCTTGGCGTTGTGACTCGCCGTCCGCCGTCTCATCTCGCGCGGTACCTGCTGGAACACCCGGGTGGCGTTGGCGCTCTTGCATTTTCGCATGCTCGTCTCGAGGGCCTTGATCTCGAATTCGCGGGCACTGAGGAACTTTTGGAGATCGAGCTTTCCATCGTCAAGGGCGGCGTCCGACGGCTGGCTGCGAATATTGCGTGCGTCTTGGAACTTGACGCGTTTTTGTGGCCGGGCTGGAGGACGCGATTCTTTGCCTTGTTGGTTCTGGTTCAATGGGGCTTCTTTGCGCTTCTTGGAATCGGCCGCCGCCTTGCCTGAGGCGGATTGTTTTTTGTTATTATCCATGGCGACTAGAGGTACCTATGGTTCCTTGGACATTGGCGTTGTTTGTATCCGGCGCATGGAGGTGCCCGATTGGGGTGGTGGTGCTTTACTTGGAGGAATTGGAGTTGGGCAGGTCTTGCTCAGTGATGACTGCATAAGGAACGAATGAGGAATTTCTGAAGCTCTTATCGGGCTTATCAGTCAATCGGCTAGTGGATCCTAGCGGGGAAGGTGTCCCCACTTGGGAGAATGTCCAAACTCAGGTCCCGTTCCTTGACGATTCCACGGCATCCTGGACAGCGCTCTTGGCGGTCTCTTCAGTGGCGTAACACTGAATTTCGCCCCCCTCCCCCCAGCATCACAGCTGGAGCCCAGACTGGAAGCTCGGCATTCCCCAGTCTCGAACATCCGGATTGTTCCAACATGACCTCCGCTATCCTGACGAGACTCTTAGAGGAAGAGTTCGTGGTGAGTGTGTAGAGTTAGTTCTCCAGAGTCGTGGATGACGGAGTGAGGCCGCAAAGCGAATGGAAACCATTATCCTCATCGCCATGCCCGTTTGACATTAGTTCATTTAATTTAAGGGGCTCCTGCCTGGACATCCATCCATCATATCCGTGGTGCCGCGTAAGAACAAATGTGCCCAGGAAAATTGTTGGGCTAAAGAAAGGACTTTTTCCAGAATCTGTCATGGAAGCATTACTAACCGGCAGTCCAAAGTTCTCATTCACCAACACACACACACATCTTAGGTCTTTTGCTGTCTTGTTGTCTTGTTTTGGTCGATAGGGGGGTAATACGGAATACCTTACGTTACAACTGTGTTCGTCCGCGATACATGCCAAGCCATCCCTGACACGCCTCAACGGCACAACTCCAGCTTTTCACTTTTCTCACTGATCTGAGAGTTTGTTTCCGAGTCCCGTTGCCGCTGTTGCGTTGCTGGAGTCTCGATATCGCCGACTTGGTCCGAGAAGGGAACACTCACGTTGCGGCAGGGAACCTCAGCGGCCCCTTTGTGTCGGCCTCAACCACGGGAACCTGGATCGAACGGTCCGGTACAGTTACAGTCCTGAGACCACGTACCGTACTTTGGAGACGGACGACGGAAATACCTGCTGAATCCGTCGCATGTAGACATGGCAGCCCTCAGTAAGCATGACTAGCCTTCCTCCCTCTTGTTCCTTTCATCACATCCGGCTTCCGCTTCATTCCATCCCACCCACCCACCTTCGTTCGCAGTTTCCCGCTCGTCTCAATGCGGTCACTCCCCTCCATCAATATCTCCAGCTTATCATCACTCCTTCACCCCAAACCCTACCTGACTATGAACGTCCGGCCTGCTGTGCATGACGTTGCTGCATCTTGTCTACCGGCACTTCCAGCATTATGGAATCAACCTTGCCTTGAACACGCTGAATCTGCCTTCAAACTATCCATTGGTCGTGACCCGTTAAGCTGATATTATGGTTCACATTCCTCTAGTCGGCAAGGCTAAAAAGGTTCGTATTGACCCATTTCCTTCCGGTGACCTACAGGGACACACAGTACTAATACCTTTGCTCTAGCCCAAGTTCGAACTACACCTCAAGGCATGTCGTCCTCAATGTGAACCTCGGTTTAGGTCGTCGTCTAACTCCAGCCCCAGATCTATGACTTGAACAATGTGCCACTGGTCTCTGGAGGGTCCCTGATCAAATGGCACTTCCCACATAGCATTCACTCGGAGCACCGTGGCAAGACGCAGAAATGCCCCATTGCCAACCACCGAGTTGAGTACAGCTACTCAAAGGTCATCCCCATCCGCATCGCTGTCGATCGTAACAACAACCTCACGGAATGCCCGATCGAGTTTGAGGTTCTGCAGCTCTTCAACACCAATGGCACAGTAAACGGCAATGGCCCAGCTCCGGCCCGGGAAGAGAAAACCACTCTAGGTGTCGTCCGCCTCAATCTAGCCGAGTATGTCGAGGAGAGTGAAACCATCCTCCGGGATGGTGTTGGAGCCGGCTTCATTCCGTTTCTCGGATCTCCGGGTGGCCCGGCAGCGGTCGATTTCCGGTTCGGGCACATCCGTAATCGCAGCTCACTCAGCGCGGTCACACCAGCACCAGCGGACGCTAACAGTCCCCAGTATCTACGGCCTGATGCAGAGGAAAAGGAGCAGGAACGTCCCATGACAGCCATGACCACCAAGACGTTCGCCACAACAACCACGGCGACCCCGGCAGAGGACGTCCAAGACGGCGTGGTGCGCCGCTACCTGATGCAGGACAGCAAGATCAATTCAACACTCAAGATCAGTATCCTCATGATCCAAGTTGAAGGCGAGCGCAACTTCATCGCCCCGCCGCTCAAGACGGCTCCCGTTTTCGGTGGCATCGCTGGCCTCGTGGCGGGCGACGTGCTGGACCCCAACGCCGACGCCCACAACTTCGCCCGCAACCACCATCAAGCTGCGGCTGACCTGGCACTGGGCCAGTTACCCAGTCTCAGCCACAAGTCGCGGGACGTGTTTGAATTGCAGGACTGCTACCGTCGGGTGCTGGCTGCCAGCTGGGAATCCCAGCCGGGCGAGCTGACAGCTGACCAGTGCATCGAGGATATTTTCTCTGGAGGCGATGGGTTCCGAACGGACATGTCTTCAGCAGCGAACACCCCTTCGCCCATCACGCGCGGCCGCGGCGGGTACAGCAACAACGCTCACAGCTTCGGGGACCGAGACGGTGAATTACGTGCGGGACACCGGAAGAAGCACAGTTTCGGAGGAGGACACGGCCACCACTTCCGCTCCACCTCGGGCCAGTACTACCGAGACCAGCGAGACAAGCTCGCGGCCGCCATTTCCATAGGACTGGGTGGCACTCCGGTGGCGCCAACAACTCCCGGACCACATAGATCCAACACCTTCCGCACCCCGAGCGCCAGTTCCGCTCGATCCCGCCACCCCCGGCACCGCGATGAACCCACCAGCGGCTCGGCTTCTGGAGACGAAGACAGCGGTAGCAACGGCAACAGTAATTACAACAAAGATACCCTCCGCCCACAAACCGCTGCCCCCTCACGAACCCAAACCCCAGGTAGCATGGCTCGCATAAGGCGGCACATCCGCCACCACAGCGGAACAAGTGATAAGAGCATTCGAACCATGATGACGGAGCAGCAACAACAAAACGACCAAGAAGGAGGCGCCGCCGACAAAGATAACTGGTATAACATCAACAACTACGGTTTCACCCGGGACCCCCGGGGAGCGGCAGACGAAGCCAATAACCTCAGAAACCTGCTCAACAGCCTCAACAACCACAACAATCCAAATTTCCTCAACGGCAATGGTTACAACAACCGCCCCGCGACCTCCGCTTCTACCGTCAATAAAATCAATACCTCCCTCAACAACGGCCTCTCCCCCGCCTTCCGCGACCTGGGCAAGATGCTTTCCCCCGCTGCTCCCGTCGGCCCCACTCCCGCTCCCCATTTGAACTCCCCTTACCAATTCCAAGACGCTGCTTCTCTGGGAGGAGTTGTGATCACGGATGGAGACAAACACCCAAGCTATGAAAGTCATATTGGAAGAATGGATAGTTTTAGGGGACGCGATCGGAGTGACAGTGGCGCTAGTCTGGCGACTTTGTCGCTTGGTAGTGGGGTGGGAAGTGGGAGTGGCAGAGGAGGGTACGGATATGGTGGGTATAAAAAAGCGAGACAGGTGGATGAGTTTGAGGTAAGGGAGGATTTGGTTGCTTGGACTATACCGGCTTAGGGGGTAAGGCCGGTTGTTTTGTCAGGGGAGGGATGATGGAGGGTTGTGGACTTGAGTGTGACCAGTTCGTGGGATAGATAGATTTTGTTCCTTTTGTGTTGTTTTGTTTTGTAGCTTCACTTCTTACTTTCCTTTGTAGCGTGGAGTTGTTATAATATATGGTTCTTGGGCTTCAAATTGAACGCCATTGGTATGGCAAATCAAACGCAAGTAACAAATCAGCGAGAAATCCTTTAGGGGTCTGTCATGTACATCTAAACGCCAGGTATCAAACAGGCAACTCCTTTCGATGATCTCAAATCTCCTGCATGGTCCATTAGAATGCGAGTATCAATAACTTCAATTCCCAACAACCACCTCCTCCCGCACTCCCCTCCATTACTTCCCCCTCCCCGAACTCCCCCATCTATCGAAAAGCATCAACAACCCTTCCACTCCCCTCCTCAATCTCCACAGCTCCCCATCTCTGCTCCCTACTCTTTCTAGTCAACCCCTTCCCCTTCCTCTTCTCCTCTCCCCCCTCTGCCTTTCGCCTTCCTTCCTCCTGTTGCTCCCTCTGCCCTTCCTTTTCTTCTTCTTCTTCTTCTTCTCCTCCTCCTTCTCTACTAACTTTGTCCAAAACCACATCCAAGCCCTCATAAACCCCAAGCTCATCCAGCAATACCTCCACTGCCCATACATACCCACCATAACCTCCGTAGCCTCCTCCGTAAGCACCGCCTTGACGAGTCCTGCCCCTAGGCACTTTGGTGCACAATAAATGTAAATCGAGCATCTGGGAGAAGACCATTCCGTACGAGGGTTTGTTTCTTCTTGATGCCGCGGCTGCTGCTGCTGCTGCTGACTGGGTTTGTGTTTGGTGGTGATCAAGATGGGTACTATGGTTCCTGCCGTATCCCCCTCCACGTCCTCCATACCCCCCGCCTCTGTAACTTGCAGAAGGCGCACCAGCAGTATGTCCGCCGACTAAGCCGCCCATGTACCCCGGTGCTGCCTCTACAGATGCCAGAGGTTGTGGTGGTGGTGGTGGGTTGAAGATTGAACGCATGATACTGAGGTCGGGTTGTTTTGGTCCTTTGTTGTTGTTGTTGTTGTTGTTGTCGTCGTCGAACATCGATATCGAGTTAGTATTGGAGGAGAATGAAGAGGTGGTTGGTGAGGTAGTCGAGTTTAGCATCATCACCAACGGCCCTCTCCGACTAAGTCCACGAATTTGATCAGAAAGCTGAACCGCCGAGTTATGCGCTGCGGACCTGTCGCTGCCGGTCTTGTTGCGGGTGAAGAGAGTGTTGAGGAGGTGGGAGGTGTTGGTCATTATGATTAGGTCTGGTAGACCGCCGTCTTTGCTCTCCGTTCTTTTCTCCCCTCTTTCTCCTCCTCCTCCTCCTCTTCTCCCCTCATTCCCGTCATTATGGCTAACAACAGTCTGCTGCTGCTCAACCTCCAACTCCCTCAAAACCTCCCTCAACCCCTCCGCATCAAAAACCCTCGCCACCAACACCCTCTCCAACCAACTCTTGATTACCCCTCTATCCACCTGGTGGTGTGCGTTGCCATTCCCTTGGAGCACCCTAGCCTCACTAACCAACGCCAATCTTAACCGAGGAAGCAAAGAAGTTGTGGAAAGTGTTGTGATGATCATCGCCTTTGCTTTTGACCCCGACGACGACGACGACGACGACGACAACAACAGCATCCTCGCAACAACCTGCAATCCCATCGCCAACCCAATCGTCTCCTCTTCTTCACAGCTTAGACCGACCACGCAACCCCTCTCGAATCCTCCTCCTCCTCCTCCTCCTCCTCCTCCTCCTCCTCCTCCGTTGAGTCCTGCGTTGAGGAGAACATGGGAGTCGAGCTCGCGACAGCCGGTGGAAAAGAAGTCATTGCGATCGTGGGTCAGCAGCCGTGAGAGTCTGGGATCTCGGGAGAGGAGCAGGGAGGCGGGGAGGGGATGTAGCGTTGAAGGTGTTGGAGGAAGGTGCAATGGGTGAGATGCGTTGCGGTTGCTGGTTTTGCGGATGCTGGGTATGGGGATGGTGGTCATGACTTGATTCCACTCGAGTATAGTTTCTGTGTGGTAATGGTGTGGCTCGAAGAAGGGTGATGTTTCGGTGATTGTGTGGGTAAGAGTTAGTTCCGTCGTAAAAGAAAAAAACAAAGTTGGGCTGCGTGAGGGGTTGTTATCATTAGGTACTGTAGAGCAGTTTCGACGTGGTTTGTTATGCGACTGGACTTGGTTGTTTAGTGAAAGCCAAAATCTGTCGTACAAAGAATGGATGAGTTGGAGACAACATGCAAATTGCGTTGCTTCAAGAATCACGAATTAGAAAAACTTCAATTCGTCACTGTAGCAACGAGTTATCACGACACATGGGCAAAGTATCTCCATCAGTCAATGATTGCAAATCTCTTGATGCACCACAGTCCATCATTCCTTTTCTCAAATGTCAAATAATACATACATACAACAAACACTATTCCATGTTCGTTCAAGGACAGTAAACCGTAGAATTCCAAAGGTAATGTCCTTAATCATGTGCGAGGTGAACTTGGTATGGTACTGTGCGTTGATTCTCGTCGAAAGCAGCTGCAGGAGGAAACAATGCAAAAAAAAATAAAATAAAAAAAAACGACCGCGAAAAAACAACCGTCCTATAAAAGGAATCGTCGACTCCCATTGACGTTTTAACAAAAAACTAAACAGACAGAGAGAAAAGAAAGATAATAAGAGCACCATAGGAGGGGCGGTCCCAACGAGCACGCCTGTTACTCTCCTCCCATTATTTGCGCACCAAAAGCAAAACATTAGCAATTTTTTTGTACAGGAGTTTTCCTGCATGCCGCAATCAATTCCTCCAATGTGACTACCGAGAAACAACCCTTGCCCAGAACGGAGGTCCTGCTCGAACCATCCCAGCGGCCGTGTATAGAGCCATATATCGTGCTTCGCGATTCCTCACGTCAAATATTGGCGTAAAACAACTCAGCAAATTTCCGCTTCACGTCTTGATGCGAGCTCGTGTCACCATTTCGCCGTTCACCCCACAAATCCTCGTTTCTACGCATATTGCGAGGGCACAGGACCAGCGTCAGGGCCGGGAGGGGCCGGGCGGGTCCTCCGTCCGCCCTTCAAGCTCTTCATGCGGCCCAAAATGCCAGTTGGCTTTTGCTGTCCTTCCTCGAGGGTCATGGCCGCATCCGTGGTAGCCCGGCGCTCCATGTTGCCTCTAGGGCTGTTGTTGTCGGTCTTCCGCACACTAAAGCCCTCCTCTCCTCCCTTGCCCTGGCTGTATTCTGAAAAGAAGGGGTTGCGTTCAGAGTTGGGGGTATTCATGCTGTTAGAAGTTCTACCACCGTCGCCTGGGGGGGATCTTGTGTACCCGTAATCTGCGCTGTTGAGTCTGCCTAGGGACTGGAACTCTCGCTCGCGGGAGGTGCTCTTGTTGATGTTGCGTATCCGGTGGGCAAGGGACTTCTTGCGTGCCAGACCGTTGGTAGTCAACTCCTGAGCGAGCTCGTCCTGGCGTTGCTGGATCGCGGTACGCGCAGCCGGTGTGCCCTCCAAGAAAGTCGAAGTGCCAAGTCCCAGGGACTCGTCGCCGTGCATGGCGCTACCGCGGGAAGTGGGGTCAAAGACGGGCAGCTCATTCTTGGACGGAAGGCCATTGTCCCTGGTAGTCCAATCTCTATAGGCCTCCTCGTCGTGTTGACCCATGAATGTGGCGTGATCGGGTCGGGGGTTCAAAGGTCCAGCACCACCCAGACTGTTGTTCAACGAGCCTTCAGGGAAGGCTTCCATAGGAGCACGTCGACTTCCGTTCTTGTTTCGGTGGGGGTTAAGAGCATCAAATGGGCCATCGTGATGGAACACTGTTGATCAATTCTGTTAAAATTGGAGAGCAGACTCGAATATTGGGACAACTCACTTCCGGTTCCGTAAATACTTGTGGCATCAAGCTGGTCGATGATGTCGAGCTTGCGGTTGGTGGGTTTCTTCTCCTTGTTTTCACGGTGGCGACGCTCACGCTCACGCTCACGCCGCCTGGCATCACGAGCCCTCTGCTCCTTCTCATCCTCGGTCAAGTCGAGGACAGACGTATCCGAGTTCCTGCGCGGACGCCTCTCTGTTCTTCGCTGCTGCGGGGGAGAGTCGATGTCGATGAGTGTGCCGCTACCTCCGTTTCCACGAGGCTTCCTGGAGCGAACATCTTCCTCTTGAGAGCGAGAGGGGCGATGAGCGGGAGGAGGTCCTCTGGACTTGGCTACTGGGGGAGGGACAGGTCGGCGGGCGACCGGCGGCGGGGGTGGCTTTGAGCCAGAAGGTCTGTCATCAAGCGTGATGGAAGCCTACAAAGTAAATGTCAGTCAATCGGTACGACATCAACCTGGCTCCATGACACCCCGCAAACGAGGGCTGCTTGTGACTTGTTACAGCCGCAGGTGGAAGGATTGGGGCAACCTACAAACAGGTCCTCGGCCGTGGCAGACGACCTCTTGTCAAAGCCAGACATTGTGTCGGAAACTGATCGGTTGGTTTGTGCAATCGGACGAGCGCTGTTGGCAGCTCCAATATCGAGGAAAGGGTTCCGCGAGGTAGGTCTCGGAGGGGGATCGTCGAATGGAGATACTTGAGGTCCTGAAGAGGTGGGAGAGGCGCGGTCACGGTTGCGAAAAGGATTGTTTGAATTGAGCGACAAGCCAGCAGCAGACCGCTGATCTAAATCCCAGGTCAGGGGGAAAACCCAAAGCGTCAGCAAGCCATCAATCAAGGAAGAAAAAGGTGGGTTTAGGGGCAGCGGCACCATGCATGCAAGTGACGCTTGTGATAGGGATATGAAACGGCAATCTCCTCGACATGACACAGCGGACTCAACAGCGGAGCGCACTGATAACCCAGGTAGCGCCTAGGACAGCCAAGAGACCAGCCGAGACCCCCCAATGGAACAGAGATGGACAAAAAAAAAACCGGGAAGTGGGAAAAGCGGCAACCTTCACAACACGCCAATGGGTGTGGATCGGCCGTTTTTATTCTGCTGCAATTGAAGGGGGCCGCTAAACAAAGCCATGCAAACGGGGGGCCATGTGTTTGGGAAAGGGGTAGAAGGGGGAGCAGATCGCCCAGGGTCGGGTGCTCTGTGGAAAGATATAAAAGGAAACCAGATACTCACCATTCTGTTCCGACTGAAAAAAGACCATGGTGGGCTAACTTGTGATGGTTGGGGAAAGGGGGGGGGGAGGGTTGCTGGAATGCAGAGGTGTGCACGTCGTTCGGCTGGTGTTGATGCTGGTGGTTGTTGGATTGCCCGGTTTGTGTGGCCACCAACGCTGGTTTGTAGGTAGTAGGTCTGAGCTATCTGAGCAGGTGCCGTATGGTGCCGTATCGCTTCCGGATGCGTGCTGCGGGATGCGGACGCGCGGTCTGTGATACACGTCTTTAAAGCGTCTTGCGGTTCTGGGTTGCCGTGCCGTGGGCTCGCGTCATACCAGATAAGAAGCTCGGGTTGCGCACTTGGCTTTGCAGAATGGACGAATTGCCGGGAGGAGGTGATGGATGGTTTGTCCCTGGCCAAGTATAAAAAGAACTGGCAGCCAACAGGTCGATCTCAGATGTCCTTTGGAACCTGAATCAGCCAACGGCCGCGGGTTCCGACTGGATGATGAGTCGTGAAGGGCTGTGTTTTGCCACACAAGGCAACGCTGCCACAGCCGGTGTGTGTTTCTTAATTGGCGCTCGACCTTGAACTCGATCAAACCCGATTGCGCAGGTTCTTGAAGTGAAATGCCGTGAAGGATGGTTCACTACAAATATGCAAGCACTGCTTCCCAAATCGATTGCTTTGCTCGATCGCGCTTCCTGTTCTGATGCCGAAGTGGCCGTGGCCTAGCGACACTTTTCAATCTGAAAAGTCTATCTTTCTCCCTGTTGTTTCCGACGTCCCTGGGTTCCGAATCGGTCCCAGTGATGTGACACGAGCGGGCGGGCGGCTTCTTCTTTGAGGCGTGGTTGCGAAAAGCGGACTTGATTTCGGGTCGGCTGACACTGCAAGGTGACGGACGATGGGAGTGCGAGACTTGGTGGGCTCGAGGCTGAGCGGTATCTGGAGCCGGCGGCGCAGGGCTGGGGAGTAGTGGTAGTGTTTGGGATGAATGAGAGAGGGAGCGAAAATAAGAGTAATTAGTTTGGAATGCTTCTTTCTCGTCGACCGGCCAGGATCGATCGCTGTCGCGGGGGGTAATGGTAAGGTGTAGCAAGGAGGGTCCTGTATTTGTGTACGGCGGGATGTATACGGGGTGGTGCCAGGCCGTGGACGCGATCAAGCACAAAGGGAGTGCGAATATCGATCCTTGGTGTGGATGTCCTGTGACAAGCAGTCCGGAGGAGTGCGAACAGAAGGAGAGGAAAAAGGGAGGACCAGAGCGAAGGGATTGTGCTGGCGAGGTCGACTTTGACTTCCCAGCAGTAGTGTCCAGTGCCAGTGGCAGCGTCTTTCGGCGGGCAGATGCGGGCAGAGTGACCGCGAGCGATCCGAAAAAGGAGATTGCAACGGGAATCGACCGACTTCTCTTGGAAAGTCCTGGGGTGGGCAGACGAGGGTTCCCGTGCCGGCTGTTACTTGATAGGCGGAGGCGGTGGAGATGGGCGAGGGGAGCGCAATGAGCAATCCCCAACCGAATTGCCAAAGGGTCTCGCTTCACCCTTTAATGTATCTTATCTTGCCTGTTTGTTTTCTGGATGGAAATGATCTCACGGAAAGAGTAAACAAGCAGTGTGATGTAGAAACCGCCTCTGGTGCAAGACCACGAGTAGGTAGGTATTAGCTGAGCGCGGCCAGCGCGGTACACAGATCACGGCAATATAAAGAAACGGATGGTCACAGGTCACTTTGCGCAAAGAGCGACAGGTGACCACGGCGGTGCGGGTGGTGACGATGTTTGTTGCGGGGAATTATGGGTTTCTCTTCTTCAGATGTGGAGGAAAAAAGAGAAGAGAGAAAAAGAAAGCAAGATGAAGCCACTTTGAACAGGCACAGCTTTGGAGAAAATGACGATCTGTGCAACTCGGACTTCGCTCTGAACGGCGGCAACCGGCTGATCTCTCATGTCAGTTAATATGAGACTAAATGCCCAACTGAAGCATATCTCCAGATTCGTTGTCCGGCTCTCATGCCAGGTGCCTTGGTGGCTTCTCTTGCCAGGGCGGCTATACCCCTTTGGGATCATCTCCACGCTTGGCCTGCAAGATCCATCTCGCCCTGGCTTCTCCATCAATGTTCCATCGACGGGCCATCGACGGGAGGCCATCGACACCACTGCACGCCCCAGCTGCAAGATGGGCTTTTTTTGGCGGCACTTCTGTCATGTTGAATTTTCCCGTCCTGTTCTTTTCTCACATGGGCGGCCCGTCTGTCCAAACGACGTTCAGATGGTCCGATGAATGCCACGTGAGTAGCATCTGCGTGTTGACATCGGTCCGTCTGCAAGAACAATGTCGTGCTCAGTCTCAATGTTGTCGTTGTATTCCATGGAAGAAAGAGACGGTATGAACCCCAGGTCCCAAGATCCCTAGAGGTAGCGGTCATGGTCAACTCGAGCTCTGAGTGGCCAGCCCCACAACCGCTGCCGGTCGCAATGAAAAAGAAGCACTTGAGCAATAAAACCGAGTTGGGCTTCACGTGGATAAGGTTAGGGTGTTTCCAAACTGGGGATCCCCATCTTGACGAGATCTTACGGAGCACTCAGTCACTCCAGCCATCGGAGCCGAATGAAATGCAACTTTCCCACCGAGTCCGAGCTGCTGTTTCAACACGCGCGTATCACCCAAGACAACACCTTCCTACGGTGGTGATGCTGTGCGAAAATCACCAACTGGCTTCCTCCTTGAATAACTCCCCACATTGCTCGATTCCACGTGAAGGAGATGTGGAAGCAGCTGGAAAGCGATTAGCAGCTGTCTTGCTTTTTTTGGGCTTCCAGTGAAGCTCTCACCGCGTGCTTTCCCGCCCGGTTTCAAGTTCAAACCCTCCTTTGGAAAAAGGCCAGCTTCATGTCCCATGTATCTATTTTTGAGGCAGAGGACCGTTCAAGCCGTGACAGGAAGTCGCTGCATGAGAGCCATCCTGCCATGCAGTACCGCAGAAACTGGGGCCGTTCGTCTTCGGCTGTTCCAACAACCAATGGTGTTTTGGGTTTTGGATCTGCAATGCTAGAGATGCCTCAAACTTGCTTAGGATCCGAACAACCGAGGACGAACGGCCCCCAGTCTCTGCGCCGAGTATTTTGTCACCGAGTCCGGAAAGGATGAGTTGACAAGCAGAGTCGACATGAGGCTATACAGGGGACAGGAAATGGTGATACCTGTGCGTAGCGTAGTCACTGCAATCACTGCGAAAATAATACATTTGGGCCCTTGAAAAGGGACCCCTGCACCGCTCAATCCTACCCCATATTTCAGTTGACAGTCTCCGAGAAGAAGTTAGGCAGGAACCAAACTAGACAATTTCCCTCTTTTTGCCTCTTTCTTATCAGCCGCCAACGGGGAACAGGGGGCAAAGAATCATCTTCGGTCAAGAAAGGGGTCAACATCCAAGGATACGGCGGTCAATGTTTGCGTTAGGCTTGATTGGAAAAAGTTGGGTAGAAGAAGGTTCCCCGTCAGCTGCAGGGGGGTGACTCTCGAACTCTAACGCTAATTGAACCTCGACTCCAATTGAACTCCCCGAAGAAATGAAGCCATAAAGTAATCGCAAGCAATGAACAAGAGTCCACGAGCGTCAGTAGCCAAATCAGGACGCCAGGGAGTTTGCGTCACAGTACAAATGGATCCGTCACTAGTTCTCCAAATTTTGGGAGAGTTGGGATGGTTTGGGGAATTCATTGGGGCAAGGTCAAAGTGCAATTGGATGCTTCCGATTCCTCGAAAAATGAATGGATGAAGAAGAAAAGAAATGAGAAAGGGATGATAGAAAAGGATCATTGCTGAGGTAGATGAACGGATAAAACATGGGGTTTCGTATGGGCTGCAAACGTAGCTACGACAAAGGGCTGATAACAAGTGTATCTGTGGCTGGGAGCTCGGACCAGCTCATAATTGGGACTAACGTAAGAAGATATTGACCGCCGTACATAGTGCACAAAGGGGCCTGGGGGGGCACTTTCCAGTTCTTACAATGTAGTACCGCAAAAGGCCCCGCTCATTGCAGTGTTCACGTTCCTGGCCTTAGGTTATTCTTGTGGGGTGCATACAGCGGGAGGCGCCAGGCACAGGGGCAGTCGGGCAGGTACGGCTATGTTAGGTCATGGCACGTACCTCTCAGGTCGCGCCGCTTTCTTTCAACATATCTCTGCTTCGACTTGCAGAAATGAAGACAGCAGCAGCCTGAGTGATGCCAAACCCGAAACCGGAATACGGACATACTCAACGGCGTCCATGATCGTCTACTATGCAGTATACGGCCCTGGGGGTTTTACCTCTACGTCCCTACCGAAGAAACGTGGGACACGCGCAAACACG